TGCCCAAACAAATACTGCCTCTGCAGAAGCATGGATTTCTCCATGGGCCACCAGTGATTTGAGGCCAACAGTGAAAAAACTTTTTCAAGTACGGGTAGTCCTCGATTTACAACAGTTCACTTAGTGACTGTTCAAAGTTACAATGTGGTTGAAAAAAGTGACTTTATGACCATTTTTCACACTCATGATCACTGCAGCATTCCTGTGGTCATGTGATCAAAATTGGCAACTGGTTCATATTTATGATGGCTGCAGTGTCCCGGGGTCATGTGATCCCCTTTTGCAAACTTCTGACCAGCAAAGTCAATGGGGAAGCCAGATTCACTTAACAACCAGGTGACTAACTTAACAATTTCAGAGCTTCACTTCACGACTGTGGCAAGAAAAGTCGTAAAATGGGGCAAAACTCACTGAAGAAATGTTTCACTTAGCAACGTTGGGCTCCATTGTGGTTGTAAGCTGAGGACTACCTTTATGTACCCAGGTAATCCTCAACTTATAGCCACAATTAGCAGCAGAATTTCCGCTGCTGAGCAAGGTGGTGTTTAAGTGAGTTGCCTCCGATTTTAAGGTCTTTTTTTGCCACGGTTGTTAAGAGAATCCCTGCAACTGCTAAGTAAAACCACGTGGTTGTTAAGCAAATCTGGATTTCTCCCATTGACTTTGCTTGTTGGAAGCTGGCTGGGATGGTCATGCTCCCCCCCACATGGCTCGGGGGCACTGCAATTGTCATAAATACATGTAAGCATATAATTTTGATCATGTGACCATGGGGACGCTGCGACAATTGTACAATGTGAAGACTGGTTATAAGTCACTTTTTCAGTGCTGTTGTAACTTTGAATGCTCGTTAAATGAGTGGTTGTAAGTTGAGGACTACCAGTATCTCTAAAGACATATGTAACCATAGGACTAGACCAGGGGTAGGCAACCTTGGCTCTTTTCTGACTCATGGACTTCAACTCCCAGAATTCCTAAGCCAGCCATGCTGAGGGGAAAGGGAAAGGTTTCCAAGCTGAGCCATGCTGGCTCAGGAATTCTGGGAGTTAAAGTCCATGAGTCATAAAAGAGCCAAGATTCCTCAGCCCTGGTCTAGACTATTTATGAGACCATCTGTCTGTAATTATTTCTGCTCATAACAGAACTGACAAGGAGCGCACACTCCCTCCCCTTCATTACACAATTTCACCTTTTTGGATTTAATGTACAATAGTTAGCTGGATTGTTGGTTTAATTGTATTGTTTGAATAGTTATACACTTTCCAGAAGCATTGCTTGAGGATGGGTGGCCATATAAGCCAAATACAGGTAGTCCTCAACTTACGACCACAATTGAGCCCAACATTTCTGTTGTTAAGTGAGACATTTAAGTTGCCCCATTTGACGACCTTTCTTGCCACAGTTATTAAGTGAATCACTGCAGTTGTTGTTAGTAACACAGTTGTCAAGTGAATCTGGCTTCCCCATTGATTTTGCTTGCCACAAAAGGGGATCACATGACCCCGGGACACTGCAACCGTCATAAGCGTGAACCACTTGCCAAGCATCTGAGTTTCGATTACGTGGCCACAGGGATGCTTCAATGGTCGTAAGTCAGAAAAATGGTCATAAGTCTCTTTTTTCATTGTAACTTTGAATGGTCACTAAATGAATGGTTGTAAGTCGAGGACTACCTATACTCCAGTGAATTGATGACTTTGCTTGTCAGAAGTTTGCAAAAGTGGATCATGTGACCCCCAGGGACACTGCAACCATCATAAATGTGGGTCAGTTGCCAAGTGTCTAAATTTTGATGAGGCGACCCTGAAGATGCTGCAATGGTCATGTGTAAAAAACTGTCATAAGTCACTCTTTTGGTGCCATTGCAACTTCAAATCATCCCTAAATGAATTGTTGTAAGTCAAGGATACATAAAAAATAAATATCAAAGGAGAGAAACCTTCTTTCTGCCTGTTCAAAACAGAACGGAAGGAAGAAATCTTTCCCACTCCAAAGTTTGGCTAACATGAACACTACTGTTGTTTTAATGCCAACTTGGAAAGCAATTATATATTTATCTATATATAGGCATTTTAATGAATAGATTTTCTCTGTGTGTTGCTCTTTAAAAGCCTAAACTAGGACGGGAGAGATGTTATCAAAGCTAAATCAATATTTATCTATCTGCCCTTTTGGGACACATTTATGAGCCAAAATTAACTTATGCTAGTTTTAAATTAAAAGATGCTGGCTCCTGGGGAGGAAAGCTATGGCAAATCTAGACAGCATACTAAGAAGCAGAGACATCACCCTGCAACAAAAGCATGTATAGTCAAGGGAAAAACAGTTGTAACGTACGGCTGTGAAAGTTGGACCATAAGAAAGGCTGAGCACCAAAGAACTGAGGCCTTTGAACTATGGTGCTGGAGAAGACTCCTGTGAGTCCCCTGGACTGCAAGGCGATCCAAACGGTCAGTCCTAGAGGAGATCAACCCTGACTGCTCTTTAGAAGGCCAGATCCTGAAGTTGAAACTCAAGTACTTTGGCCACCTAATGAGAAGGAAGGACTCACTGGAGAAGAGCCTCATGCTGGGAAAGATTGAGGGCAATAGAAGAAGAAGAGGACGACAGAGAAGAAGGTGGCTGGATGGAGTCACTGAAGCAGTAGGCGTGAGCTTAAATGGATTCCAGAAGATGGTAGAGGACAGGAAGGCCTGGAGGAACATTGTCCATGGAGTTGCAATGGGTCAGAACGACTTCGCAACTAACAACAACAAGTTTAATTTTTGTTTTGCGGCGTCTTTTCCCAACACAAAAAGCAACATACTTTTGAAAACTCTCTGCACAAAAATGCCTTCAAACAATGTACATAAAGAGAATTGATGACGGAAAAAATCACTTGCCCAGATTGATATATTGGGCAAGAGGGCAAAAACAAAACACATAACTCTGGTCTTTAGCCTGATGTAACCCTCTCCCTTCGGCACTTCAGCACAAACCTTCTTCTTTTGTATTGCCAGTATTGTACAAAACCTCGAAATGATCTAATTACCTGACTCCTGACTAGCAAAACAGGATCAACAGTATAAGCGATTTCTATTTCCCGACATCACGCCTGAAATAACACAGAAGGTTGCCAGGATTTGGTTAGCGGCATGCAAAATCAGGCAAAGAATAATTAAGAGCAACTGGACCTGCCTGACTATGGACAGCCGGAAAAATCTGAAGCTTTGAAACCTCAGCTTCTCTTGCCTCACCTTCAGTCAAACCAAGGCCTTATTGATGCTGGAACAGTGCCAGGAAGGATTCAGCTGACCAGGTTCCTTCAACCTCGGAATTGGCCCCCTCCTGTTGGCCTCTCAGACAAGACCCATAAGCCTGACACTTACTGGAATTTCTAGGCAGCCCGCTCCCGATGCTGACACAAAGATTTTTTCCCGACGATTTGAGAAGAGCCACGTTGCCTGGACCATTCATAAAAGTCACCGTCCGGGTTCCTCCTCCGCCCCAGCCTTCCTTCTTCACACGGAATTGTAGTCTGAAATGAAGAAAGAGGGAGACAATCCAGGTTATAACAATTTTAAGGTTTGCCTTGGTCTTAAAATGGGGTTGGGGCCACCTCCAGCCTCCAACCCTTCAAATCCTACACTTGGGAGTTGACTGAGAGCCCTCTGGTGATTCATCCAGGGGAGCCAAAATGGACCAAAGCACCGTTTTGCCCATCGATAGGATGGACTTCGAGGACAGCAAAAAAAAAAAAAAAAGAAAAAAGAATGACTTTATTATGCAAATCAGAATTAAGCCCCTGTCACTAGAGATGGCGAGGGACACAAAAAGACAGCTTGAAAAGGAGATTACACACATTTATGGATGAGTTGGCCATCAGTGGTCAGCAGTCAAGATTATTTATATACTATTATTATATACTACAATTTCTATACTATTATTTATATATTATTTATTTAAGTCCTCAACTTACCACCATTCATTTAAAGACCGTTTGAAGTTACAACTGTATTGAAAAAAGGGATTTATGACCATTGTTCATCAAAATTGGCAGGCTTGGCAGCTAGCCTGTATTTATGAGGGTCACAGTGTCCCAGGGGCATCGGATCCCTTTTGTGACCTTCTGACAAACAAAGTCAATGGCGAAGCCAAATTCACATTACAACTGGATTACTATATATATATATATATATATATATATATATATATATATATATATATATATATATATATATATATATATAATGATAAAGTTGGAAGGGACCTTGGAGGTCATCTAGTCCAACCCCCTGCTCAGGCAGGAAACCCTATATCATTTCAGACAAATGGCTGTCCAGTCTCTTCTTAAAAACTTCCAGTGTTGATGGATTCACGGCTTCTGGAGGCAGGTTGTTCCATTGGTTAATTGTTCTAACTGTCAGGTACTTTTTCCTTCGTTCTAGGTTGCTTCTCTCCTTGGTTAGTTTCCATCCGTTGCTTCTTGTCCTGCCTTCAGGCGCTTTGGAGAATAGCTTGACTCCCTCTTCTTTGTGGCAGCCCCTGAGATATTGGAACACTGCTATCATGTCCCCCCTCGTCCTTCTCTTCATTAAACTAGACATACCCAGTTCCAGCAACCGTTCTTTATATGTTTTAGCCTCCAGTCCCCTGATTATCTAACAACTGCAGTGATCTGCTTAATAAATGTAGCAAGGAAGGTCATAAAATAAGGGAAAACTCACTTAACAACTCTCTGGTTTAGTAATGGAAATTTGGGGCTAAATTGGGATTGTAGGTCAAGGATTACCTGTAATAATAATAATAATAATAATAGTAATAATAATAATAATAATAATAATAATAATAATAATAATAATAATAATAATGATGATGATGATGATGATGATGATGTTGGAAGGGACCTTGGAGGTCATCTAGTCCAACCCCCTGCTTAGGCAGGAAACCCTATAGTACCATTTCAGATAAATGATTGTCTAGTCTCTTCTTAAAAACTTCTAGCGTTGCTGGCTGAGGAATTCTGGGAGTTGAAGTCCACAAGTCTTAAAGTTGCCAAGGTTGAGAACCCCTGCTCTAGAGGCACCTGTACTTTTGTTCACAGTCTGGATATTATATAGGTAAGTCCTCGACTTACAACCACAATTGTCCCAAAATTTCTACTCTTAAACAAGACAGTGGTTAACTGTGTTTTGTCCCATTTTACGACCTTTCTTGCCATCGTTGTTAAGGGAATCACGGCAGCTGTCAAGTTAGTAACTTGGTTGCTAAGTGAACCTGGCTTCCTCACTGACTTTGCTTGTCAGAAGGTCGCAAAAGGCAATCTGGTGATCCCTGGACCCCGCACCTGTCGTAAGTACATGCCAGTTTCCAAGCCTCGAAATTTTGAACACGTGACCACGGGGTTGCTCCAATGGGCGTAATCAGTGGTGGGATTCAGCCGGTTCGCACCACTTCGGCAGAATCGGTAGCTAATTTTTTATTGCCCAGTCCCAGAATGGACTTCCGAGAGTGGCATCCACACATATATGAATCCCACCACTGGGCGTAAGTGTGGAAAACGATCATACGTCTCTTTTTTCAGTGCCATTGCAACTTTGAATGGTCACTGAACAAATAAATTGAGGACTACCTGTATGCGTGAGACAAAGATGGTGAAGTCAGCCCCTCCCTAATAAGTCACAGAGTAAATTGCAGATGCAGATAATGATGTCCGCAGTCTGGCAAGATTTTGCCTATAGGTATAAAAATAATAAAGAGCTCAGATTGGAAGAATAAACACATGTCGTTCTTGGTTTGGGGCCTGATACTCGGGGGGGGGGCTTTTTACTTCCAATCCGATTGCTATGATTTCTACGCATACAATTGTTTTCAGCAAAACCTGAAGTCCGATGAATCCGTAGCTGCTAAGACAATAGCAGAAAAAAAGGGGGGGGGGACTAGCAAGCATACTTCCGGCTGATGGTTGCTGTGGGAAACGGCAGTGGCTGAGAAGCTGAGGGAGGTTTTAAATTGTTTCCCCATTGTCAAGGCAGGGAACTGGTTTTTCTCTGAGCGACCTTTGGCAAATAAATTAGGTTTCCAGCCAACCCACCTCCCCCCCTTGGTCTGCTCACGTGTCACTGAAATGGAGTTGGAGCTTTCCTCGAGTGGCTTCTTCGTAGCGTTTGCACAGCAGGCTAATGACTTCTGTCTTGAAGATGGATTCCAGGAATGTATCCGCCTCGGCTTCGTGCAAGATGAAAAAATCGTCCTGTTTCGTGCTGGGGAGACCCAGAAATAAAGAGCCAGCAGGAGGAGGAGGAGGAGGAGGAGGAGGAGGAGGAGGAGGAGAAGAAGAAGAAGAAGAAGAAGAAGAAGAAGAAGAAGAAGAAGAAGAAGAAGAAGAAGAAGAAGAAGAAGAAGAAGAAGAAGAAGAGGAGGAAGAGGAAGAGGAAGAAGAAGAAGAGGAAGAAGGCGAAGAGGAAGAAGAAGAAGAAGAAGAAGAAGAAGAAGAAGAGGAGGAGGAGGAGGAGGAGGAGGAGGAGGAGGAGGAGGAGGAGGAGGAGGAGGAGGAGGAGGAGGAGGAGGAGGAAGAAGAAATAATGTCAGCTCTCTGAAAAGTAGGACAGATTCCTTTGAGCCCCAGGAGCCCTGAATAACGCTTGTGCCAAAGAGGGACTTCAGCCAGAGAGGTTTGGCTTGCAAGGACCAACAACAGCAAAAATCCCTTTTCTTCAAGCTCTTAAGACAAAGTTTTTTTTAGTCTTTCTGGCCCAATTATGCATCGCTGACAATGGTGGGATTCAAATAGGTGAACAAACAGTTCTCTGTGTGGATGCCGCTTCCGGAAGTCCGTTCTGGGCCTGAGCAACAAAAAATTAGCTACCGGTTCTGCCAAACTGGTGCGAACCGGCTGAATCCCACCACTGATCACAGCTCTTAGAGTCTGGAAGAAGCAGTTGAGCCTTTGAACTTGGCAATAAGTGGGGGGGGGAAATACCAACAAAAGAGCTGCAACAGGAAATAAATTTCAATTTTGACCTTGGATGCGGGTGGCATTTCCCCATTCAAGGGTGAGTGCAAGATGGGGGGTGGTCTTTCTGCACTCAAGGCTTCTGTTCAATGAGCAGGGACAGCTGTGACCAGAAACAGCTGTTGTGCCAGTTGTGTCCTTTCCTTCCTTACAGTATCCTCAATGTCACTGTCCACAATTTAGGAGCGTGTTGGAGGGTTAGATGGATAGCTTTTTCTCCAACATAAGAATGGCGGGAGCCTAGAGATGTCCATAAGGGCATTGTAAAAGTCAAAATAGTGGCTGTGAGCACATGACTCAAGCTTTTCCATATGTGTTACATTCAGGATTTCAACCACATGACCTTTTAAAACATACCTGCTGGGGCTTCTTCAATCAATCAGAATAAGGCTGGAGGGGACCTTGGAGGTCTTCTAGTCCAACCCCCCTGCTCAAGCAGGAGACCCTATATCAGTGATGGCGAATCTTTTAGAGACCGAGTGCCCAAACTGCAACCCAAAACCCACTTATGCATCATCGGGTGCCGGGTGGGCGTGGCCCATTGGCTGGGTGTGGCCAATTGGAGGGGTGTGGCCTATTGGGTAGGCATGGCTGCCGTGGTAACGGCAGACTGGGTGGGACTAAAAAGTTCAATCAGTCAATTCCAACTTTGCAAGATCTTTTTTTTTCCTGCGAGAAGTTGAAATTGAGTGATTGATTGAATCTTTTTTTTTTTTTGCACACGGCAGTGGAGGCCTAAAACGAAAAGGTTTTATAAAACCCAGCTGAAGGCCTAGGACTGGGGCGACGGTATGCGTGCCCACAGAGAGGGTTCTGAGTGCCACCTCTGGCACCCGTGCCATAGGTTCGCCACACCACCTATCAGGGTGTCAAATTGCCAGCCCACAGGCTGGATGTGTCACACAGAAGCCGCACCCACCCCAGCTCCAGCAAGGGGAAAAAAGTTGGGATAAGTTGCGACATGTCACGTGACGCGGTGAATTTGACACCCCTGCCCTATACCATTTCAGACGCAATTTCTGAAGGCAAGCACCCACAACTTCTGAAGGCAAGCTGTTCCACTAGTTAATTGCCCTCACTGTTAGGAAGTTTCTCCTTAATTCCAGGTTGCTTCTCTCCTTGATTAGTTTCCATCCATTACTTCTTGTCTTGCCTTCTGGTGCTTTGGAAAATAAGTTGATCCCCTCTTCTTTGTGGCAGCTCTTCAAATACTGGAATACTGCTATCACGTCACCCCTAGTTCTTCTTTTCTCTAGACTGGTCATACCTAATTCCTGCAACTGTTCTTCATATGTTTTTGTTTCCAGGTCCCTAATCATCTTAGTTGCTTTTCTTGGCACTTTTTCCAAAGTCTCAACCTCTTTTTTGTAATGTGACCAAAACTGGATGCAGTATTCCAGGTGGGGTCTTACTAACAATTTATAAAGCGGTACTAATACTTCACATGATTTTGATTCTATGCCTCTGTTTGTACAACCAAGCATTGTATTAACTTTTTTGGCTGCTGTATCATATGGCTGGCTCATGCTTCCACTAGCACTCCAAGGTCTTTCTCACAGTTACTGTTTTTGAGCCAGGTTTCGCCTAATCTGTACTCATACCTTTGGATTTTCCTGCCTAAATGTAAAACTTTGCTTTTCTCCACACTGAAACTCATTTTGTTGGATAGGGCCCATTGTTCAAGTCTGTCAAGATCTTTTTGGATCTTTTTGTCTTTTAACAAAAGCCGCTTGATGCTGTGGCCTTGTGGCTTTTTACAGGATGGGAACGCAGCTTACCTGAGAGATACTCGATTCACTCTTTGGACCTCCACTTTCTTCTTTAGCACCTCCTGGATCTGCCCTTTCTCAGGACCCTTTTTCACCTTCTCTCGGCCAATCAGATACAGGTGTTTGGGTGTTAAGATTAAGTCCCGCTTGATGGGCTGAGCAGATGGAAAAATAAGAGGCAGATGGCAAGATGTGTGAACTCTTTACAAGTGGTTAATCTGCTGAAAAAAATCCCTTTGTTTTTTGTTATTTTACGACTACCAAATTTCAAAAAAATATAAAACACAACCGAACCAGAGAAAACGGTTTCAAGGGAAAAAAAGGGAAAGGAAGGAAAAAGCAAAATTAGGGGGTGCAGACAAGAAGGAAAAAGACAGTACAGGTAATCCTCAACTTACAACCATTCGTTTAGTGACAGTTTGAAGTTACAACAGCACTAAAAAAAATTGACTTGGGACGGGTTTTCACACTTATGACCGTTGCAGCATCCCCACGGTCACGTGATCAAAATTTGAACATTTGGCAACTGGCATGTATCTATGACAGTTGCAGTGTCCTGAGGTCATGTGATCTGGCTTCCGACAAGCAAAGTCAACGGGCGAAGCCAGATTTCCTTAATGATTGCATGATTCAGTCAACAACTGTAGTGATTTACTTAACAACTGTGGAAAAAAAGGCCATTAAAATGGGCAAAACTCAACAACTGCCTTGCTTAAATGGAAATCTGAGGCTCGGTTGTGCTCATAAGAACTGAGAACTGCCAGTATAGAAACAAAATAGCTTCAGACTTTCTTTAGTACTAATACAAGCATAAAATATAATAACCACTTGAACTTGAGTAAACCATACTGTCATCCTGGCCCTCTTCGCTGCCCTTCACGCTTGCTGCCAACTTCCATGGAAATGGGGGGGGGGGAAGCAATGGGTATTTGGCAGTGGTGGAATTCAGCTTGTTCGCACCAGTTCGGCAGAACCGGCAGCTAATTTTTTGTTGCCCAGGCCCAGAACGGACTTCCGGAAGCAGCATCCATACAGAGAACCGGTTGTTCACATATTTGAATCCCACCATTGGTATGGGGGGGGGGGAGGAAGCATGCAGGACAGTGATGGCGAACCTATAGCACAGGTGCCAGAGGCAGCACTCGGAGCCCTCTCTGTGGGCATGCATGCTGTTGCTCCAGCCCCGCCTCCCCCCACGCCTCCCCTCCTCACCAGCAGCCCCTCTGGAGCAGAGTCGCCCCCGGGCAACAGGGACAAGACTCCGCCCTCACACCCCATAGTGTGCAGATGATGCTGTGGGGTGTGGCTGCCATGGTGCTGCAGGACTGCCTGGCAATCTGCTGCAGCAGGCCATGGAGGCGATGCGTGGCCCTGCAGGCGGGTGGGGCAGGGAGTGGGTGTGGGTGGAGCAGGCAGGGCGGGAGGCAGAGCGGGGGCGGGTGGTGGTGGTTTTGGGGCACCCGATCTCTAAAAGGTTCGCCATCACTGATGTAGGAGGTGTGAGACTGGAATATCTGAGAAGCGATGGGGAGGCCTGGGCTCAGCTTGGGTTGTTTGACATCTTCAAGGCCAACTGTCCTGGGAAAGGCAAGCACGAAGGAGGACCGGTGCACCTGGATTGGAGACGTTCCCAAAACATCCTCCTAGCCAACGATTGGACTCTGGTTGCCTGGCTACAGAGGGGTGGGCTCTGGGATTATTTTCAATTTGTCTTTTCGCTTGTGTTTACTTCAGACCTTGCCTGGTTTTTGCTGCAATCAGTTTTTTCCTAGTAAAAATGCCTTTTTCTCTGACTCTATGGAGTCAAGGGTTTTCTTTCCTAGGGACCGATTGAGGGGCAGCCCTGACACACACTCTCCAAAAAAATCTGTGAAGCTGTTTCAACATTTTAAAACGGTTTGACAAATGCCAAGAATTCTTCCAGGTTTTCGGAAAAAGAGGTCGTAGTTTTTGGCTCTTCCCCTCACGGTGGAAGCTAAGCTCCATCTTACCTTAAACCGCCTGTCGTACTTGGTGACTGAATCAGCAAAATCGATTCTCTCCCTTTTGCCCAAAAACTGGCGTAGTTCTGGTTTGTCTTCCATGCCCAGATAATCCCCCACGAAATTCCGGTTGATGCTGTTCCGTCGTCTCTCTTTGAAGTTGTACAGGATATGGGACGCTTGATGAAGAAGAGAGAACCGGGGAAGAGCAAAGAGTGAAGTGCAGTAGACTTTGATAAGTTCTGTGCAGATCGTTAAGACTGAGAATAATGTTATTGATTATAAACGTGGGGGAGATGTGCAGTTTAAAAATGTGAAAAAGAAATAAATATTTGTTTTAAACCGCTTTGAATCTCACTTGCAGTTACTATCCAACGTAGAATCATAGGGCTAGAAGTGACTTGGAGGTCTTCTAGTCCAACCCCCTTACTCAAGGCAGGCACCTTATACCATCTTGGTCAAATGGTTGTCCAGTCTATTTCTGAAAATCTCCAATGATGGTACACTGTCGGAAAGTTCTTCTTATTTCTAGGTGGGATCTCAATTTTACAAGCTTCCACTCGAGTAAAGCTATTCTCCAAAGTGCCTGAAGGCAGGACAAGAAGCAACAGATGGAAACTAATCAAGGAGAGAAGCAACCTAGAACTAAGGAGAAACTTCCTGACAGTTAGAACAATTAATCAGTGGAACAACCTGCCTCCAGAAGCTGTGAATGCTTCAACACTGGAGGTTTTTAAGAAGAGACTGGACAGCCATTTGTCCGAAATGGTATAGGGTTTCCTGCCTGACCAGTGGGTTGGACTCGATGACCTCCAAGGTCCCTTTTAACTTTATTATTATCGATCATCGCACAGTCAGCCAGATGTTCAGACTGGATTTGGCATTTTGTCTACCTATCGAGTCCTTACCCAGGACCTGGGATAGCAGATGTGGATGTTTGATGGTATTACAGATATCGTCGCAGGATGGAAGCAGTTCCTAGTAAGGCCGCCTTTTGCAATTGACTAATAGCAAATTTGTCAATGCCAATGGTGGTCAAGTGGTGCTCCAGTTGTTTTGGGATTGCGCCCAAGGAGCCTATGACTATTGGTACTACCCTTGCTTGCTTTTGCCACAGTCTTTCTATTTCTATTTGTAGGTCTTTGTATTTTGTTATCTTCTCCAGTTCTTTCTCTTCTATTCTGCTATCTCCAGGCACTGCCACGTCCACTATCCAGACTTTTTTTTCTTTCTTATTGACAATTGTTAAGTCTGGGGTGGTATGTTGCAGGTGCTTGTCTGTTTGAATTCTGAAGTCCCAGAGCAGTTTAATTTTATCATTTTCTATGACTTTCTCTATTTATGATCCCACCAGTTTTTGCTTACAGGCAAATGATATTTTTTGCAGATCTTCCAATGCACCATTGTTGCTACTTTGTCATGCCGCTGCTTGTAATCAGTTTGTGCAATCTTCTTGCAACAGCTTACCAAGTGGTCCACTGTTTCTTCAGCTTCTTTGCATAGTCGGCACTTACTGTCTGTTGCTGTCTTCTCAATTTTGACTTTGTATGCATTTGTCCTTAAAGCTTGGTCTTGTGCAGCCAGAATTAATCCCTCGGTCTCTTTCTTCAATTTTCCTGCTCTTAGCCATTGCCAGGTTTTATTATTATCTGCTTTCCCAGCTATTTTTTTCATGTATTGGCCATGTAGTGCTTTGTCTTCCCATGCCTCTATTCTGTTCTTCATTTGGTCTTTCTTGTAGGCCAGTTTGGTCTCTCCAGTAGTTAGTAAGCCTTCCTGATATACTAATTTCAGTGCATCTTCATCATTGTTCTTCAGATATTCTTCCAAAGCCATTTTTTCTTCTTCAACCATCTGATGTACTTGTAGCATTCCACGCCCACCTATTTGCCTTGGTAGATAAAGTCTATCAATGTCACTGCGTGGATGAAGGGCATGATTCATTGTCATTATTTTTCTGGTCTGCCTATCCATTGCTTTTAGTTCTGCTTGAGTCCAGTCCACTATTCCAGCTGTGTACCTAATGACTGGGATTGCCCAGGTGTTGATTGCCTTTATGGTATTTCCTCCATTGAGTTTGGATTTTAAGATCTTCTTCACTCTCTTGATGTATTCACCTCTAATCTTTTTCTTGACTTCAGTGTGCTTGATGTTGTCAGCTTGAAGGATACCAAGTATTTGTAGTACTCTTCCTCATCCAGACTCTTAATGTTATTTTCGTGGGGCATCTTGATTCCTTCAGTTTTCATTATTTTTCCTTGTTTGATAGTAAGTGTGGCACATTTGTCCAAGCCAAACTCCATTACAATATCTTGGCTATATATACGGACAGTGTTGAGCAGCGATTCTATTTCAGATGATGTTTTTCCATACAGCTTCAGATCATCCATATAAAGGAGGTGGGATAGTCTGGCAGATGTTTTTGATGTTTGATAGCCATGTCCTGAGTTATTCAGTATTGTTGACAGAGGAAACAGTGCAATAACAAATAGTAATGGTGATAATGAATCTCCTTGAAATATTCCTCTCTTGATATTAACCTCTCCCAGCCTCTCACCATTGATCTGCAACTGTGTCTTCCATTGTGCCATCGATCTTTGCACAAATTTTCTGATGTTTCTACTGACTCCTGTTATTTCTAGGCACTTTATTATCCAATCATGTGGCAGAGAGTCAAATGCCTTTTTGTAGTCAATCCATGCCACATTCAGGTTGGTCTTCCTTCTCTTGCAGTTTTCCAAGATCATTTTGTCTATTAGGAGTTGATCTTTTGTTCCTCTGCTGTTGGGGCGGTTTCCTTTCTGCTCAGGTGGAAAGAGATTGTTTTCAACTAGATGCTGTTGCACTGCATCAGCTACTACACCAGTTAGTAATTTGAAAGTTGTTGGTAAGCAGGTAATTGGCCTGTAGTTACCTGGTGTTGCCCCTTTTGCTGGATTTTTCATTATTAGGTAGGTTTTCCCAGTTGTTAGCCACTTTTCAATTTCTCCTCCTTGTAGTATATTGTTGAACTGTTTGGCAATGAGTGGGTGTATAACAGTTAGATGTTTCAACCAAAACCCATGCAGTTCATCTTCACCTGGTGCTGACCAATTTTTGATTTTCTTTGCTCTTTTTTCTACCATTTTTGTTGTTATTACTAGTTCTTTCATTTCAACTTCTGTTTTATTTGCATCCACCTCTTTTAACCAAGCCGCATCCTTGTTGTATTTCTTTGGGTTATCCCATATCTGCTTCCAGAACTGCACTGTTTCTTCCTTGTCAGGTACTGACTGATTCCTTGCAGTTTCTTCATTGATTGGATTGGTAGAAATGTTTCTGAATTGAAATTGGAGGTTCTGCCTATAGTTTGCAATTCGAGCTTCATATCTACTGATTTTCCTGGCTATAGCTGTTATTTGTTGCTTTATTATTTCCAGTGCTTCCTTGATCTTCCTTGTTTCTAAGTGGTATTTCTTGATTAGGTATTCTTTGGTCTTCTTGTTCTTCAGCTTCTTTTCTTTCATCTGTTCTAGCTTGCTTGCATGTGATCTTAACTTGCTGATCTTATTTTCTAGTCTAACCTTCCATTTTTCTGGTGCACTGTTTGTTTGTTTTTCTTCTTTGTTGATTTTGCATCCCAGGTATTCTGTTATAACTGCAGCTGTGCTGTACATTAGTTGGTTTGTTTCTTGCAATGAATTGGTGCTTATACTTGATATTGCAATATTTGCATCTTTTAATGCTTGTGCTAGCTGTTTCTTTGGAACAAGCTTCAATGCAGGTAGCCTTATTCTGTTGTTTTTGTGCTGTTCTAGATGCTCAGTTATTCTTTGTTTCAATTCTTTTATTTCTTTAGTTAGAGGGTTTTTTTCTTCCTGAGGTAGAGGTGCCTGGTTTCCAAATGAGAACAGTTGTATATCTCTGCTAGATTCCTTCACTGCCAACTCCCCCTGGTTTGCCTCTACATTCTGAATTACTTCTGGTAAGGCTTTGATTTCTTTGCCCTGGGTAAACCTTTGCAGTTCGTCCAATTCTGTTTCTGTGAATACTTTATTTCGTGTTATAAATCGGCGTTGATCTGCTAGTCTCTGTTCTGTTATTTCTGATTCTGGATGTTGTTCTTTCCAGAATTGGTGCATTCGTTTTAGATATCCTCTTCTTGTTGGACTTGATCTGTAGTAACAGATCATTATTTCTTTGTTTTCCATCACTGTGTATCTGCGACGGGTAAACACCTTTTCTTCCAGTAGTTCTGCAGCTGCTGGCCCTGGTTGCTCAGCCAACAGTCCTGAGTCCTGTAACCCATTTTTCACCAGATATCCAGGAACTCCAATATCTAGTGCGGACCTTGTTAACCCGGGCGACGTCCGAGCCGGTATGGCATTCTGAAATTTACGTCTCACCATATTTTTTATGGGAGAGACACTCTTTGTCTGACTCCTCTGATGAGACCTGTCCAGTATGGTTGAACCTCTAGCATAGCTCTCATCTTCCTCAGAGTACACAAGCCCCACAACCACGTCAAGGTAGTGCCTCACTGGGCACTACCTGACAGTTAGAACAATTTAAGAAGAGACTGGACAGCCATTTGTCCGAAATGGTATAGGGTTTCCTGCCTGACCAGTGGGTTGGACTCGATGACCTCCAAGGTCCCTTTTAACTTTATTATTATTATTATTATTATTATTATTATTATTATTATTATTATTATTATGGATCATCGCACAGTCAGCCAGATGTTCAGACTGGATTTGGCATTTTGTCTACCTATCGAGTCCTTACCCAGGACCTGGGATAGGCAGATGTGGATGTTTGATGGTATTACAGATATCGTCGCAGGATGGAAGCAGTTCCTAGTAAGGCCGCCTTTTGCAATTGACTAATAGCGAATTTGTCAATGCCAATGGTGTTCAAGTGGTGCTCCAGTTGTTTTGGGATTGCACCCAAGGAGCCTATGACTATTGGTACTACCCTTGCTTGCTTTTGCCACAGTCTTTCTATTTCTATTTGTAGGTCTTTGTATTTTGTTATCTTCTCCAGTTCTTTCTCTTCTATTCTGCTATCTCCAGGCACTGCCACGTCCACTATCCAGACTTTTTTGTCTTTCTTATCGACAATTGTTAAGTCTGGGGTGTTATGTTGCAGGTGCTTGTCTGTTTGAATTCTGAAGTCCCAGAGCAGTTTAATTTTATCATTTTCTATGACTTTCTCTATTTTATGATCCCACCAGTTTTTGCTTACAGGCAAATGATATTTTTTGCAGATCTTCCAATGCACCATTGTTGCTACTTTGTCATGCCGCTGCTTGTAATCAGTTTGTGCAATCTTCTTGCAACAGCTTACCAAGTGGTCCACTGTTTCTTCAGCTTCTTTGCATAGGCGGCACTTACTGTCTGTTGCTGTCTTCTCAATTTTGACTTTGTATGCATTTGTCCTTAAGGCTTGGTCTTGTGCAGCCAGAATTAGTCCCTCGGTCTCTTTCTTCAATTTTCCTGCTCTTAGCCATTGCCAGGTTTTATTATTATCTGCTTTCCCAGCTATTTTTTTCATGTATTGGCCATGTAGTGCTTTGTCTTCCCATGCCTCTATTCTGTTCTTCATTTGGTCTTTCTTGTAGGCCAGTTTGGTCTCTCCAGTAGTTAGTAAGCCTTCCTGATATACTAATTTCAGTGCATCTTCATCATTGTTCTTCAGATATTCTTCCAAAGCCATTTTTTCTTCTTCAACCATCTGATGTACTTGTAGCATTCCACGCCCACCTATTTGCCTTGGTAGATAAAGTCTATCAATGTCACTGCGTGGATGAAGGGCATGATTCATTGTCATTATTTTTCTGGTCTGCCTATCCATTGCTTTTAGTTCTGCTTGAGTCCAGTCCACTATTCCAGCTGTGTACCTAATGACTGGGATTGCCCAGGTGTTGATTGCCTTTATGGTATTTCCTCCATTGAGTTTGGATTTTAAGATCTTCTTCACTCTCTTGATGTATTCACCTCTAATCTTTTTCTTGACTTCAGTGTGCTTGATGTTGTCAGCTTGAAGGATACCCAAGTATTTGTAGTACTCTTCCTCATCCAGACTCTTAATGTTATTTTCGTGGGGCATCTTGATTCCTTCAGTTTTCACTATTTTTCCTTGTTTGATAGTAAGTGTGGCACATTTGTCCAAGCCAAACTCCATTACAATATCTTGGCTATATATACGGACAGTGTTGAGCAGCGATTCTATTTCAGATGATGTTTTTCCATACAGCTTCAGATCATCCATATAAAGGAGGTGGGATAGTCTGGCAGATGTTTTTGATGTTTGATAGCCATGTCCTGAGTTATTCAGTATTGTTGACAAAGGAAACAGTGCAATAACAAATAGTAATGGTGATAATGAATCTCCTTGAAATATTCCTCTCTTGATATTAACCTCTCCCAGCCTCTCACCATTGATCTGCAACTGTGTCTTCCATTGTGCCATCGATCTTTGCACAAATTTTCTGATGTTTCTACTGACTCCTGTTATTTCTAGGCACTTTATTATCCAATCATGTGGCAGAGAGTCAAATGCCTTTTTGTAGTCAATCCATGCCACATTCAGGTTGGTCTTCCTTCTCTTGCAGTTTTCCAAGATCATTTTGTCTATTAGGAGTTGATCTTTTGTTCCTCTGCTATTGGGGCGGTTTCCTTTCTGCTCAGGTGGAAAGAGATTGTTTTCAACTAGATGCTGTTGCACTGCATCAGCTACTACACCAGTTAGTAATTTGAAAGTTGTTGGTAAGCAGGTAATTGGCCTGTAGTTACCTGGTGTTGCCCCTTTTGCTGGTTTTTCATTATTAGGTAGGTTTTCCCAGTTGTTAGCCACTTTTCAATTTCTCCTCCTTGTAGTATATTGTTGAACTGCTTGGCAATGAGTGGGTGTATAACAGTTAGATGTTTCAACCAAAACCCATGTAGTTCATCTTCACCTGGTGCTGACCAATTTTTGATTTTCTTTGCTCTTTTTTCTACCATTTTTGTTGTTATTACTAGTTCTTTCATTTCAACTTCTGTTTTATTTGCATCCACCTCTTTTAACCAAGCCGCATCCTTGTTGTATTTCTTTGGGTTATCCCATATCTGCTTCCAGAACTGCACTGTTTCTTCCTTGTCAGGTACTGACTGATTCCTTGCAGTTTCTCCATTGATGGATTGGTAGAAACGTTTCTGATTGGATTGAAATTGGAGGTTCTGCCTATAGTTTGCAATTCGAGCTTCATATCTACTGATTTTCCTGGCTATAGCTGTTATTTGTTGCTTTATTATTTCCAGTGCTTCCTTGATCTTCCTTGTTTCTAAGTGGTATTTCTTGATTAGGTATTCTTTGGTCTTCTTGTTCTTCAGCTTCTTTTCTTTCATCTGTTCTAGCTTGCTTGCATGTGATCTTAACTTGCTGATCTTATTTTCTAGTCTAACCTTCCATTTCTCTGGTGCACTGTTTGTTTGTTTGTTTTTTTTTGTTGATTTTGCATCCCAGATATTCTGTTATAACTGCAGCTGTGCTGTACATTAGTTGGTTTGATTCTTGCAGTGAATTGGTGCTTATACTTGATATTGCAGTATTTGCATCTTTTAGTGCTTGTGCTAGCTGTTTCTTTGGAACAAACTTCAATGCAGGCAGCCTTATTCTGTTGTTTTTGTGCTGTTCTAGATGCTCAGTTATTCTTTGTTTCAATTCTTTTATTTCTTTAGTTAGAGGGTTTTGTTCTTCCTGAGGAGGAGGTGCCTGGTTTCCAAATGAGAACAGTTGTATATCTCTGCTGGATTCCTTCATTGCCAACTCCCCCTGGTTTGCCTCTACATTCTGAATTACTTCTGGTAAGGCTTTGATTTCTTTGCCCTGGGTAAACCTTTGCAGTTCGTCCAATTCTGTTTCTGTGAATACTTTATTTCGTGTTATAAATCGGCGTTGATCTGCTAGTCTCTGTTCTGTTATTTCTGATTCTGGATGTTGTTCTTTCCAGAACTGGTGCATTCGTTTTAGATATCCTCGTCTTGTTGGACTTGATCTGTAGTAACAGATCATTATTTCTTTGTTTTCCATCACTGTGTATCTGCGACGGGTAAACACCTTTTCTTCCAGTAGTTCTGCAGCTGCTGGCCCTGGTTGCTCAGCCAACAGTCCTGAGTCCTGTAACCCATTTTTCACCAGATATCCAGGAACTCCAATATCTAGTGCGGACCTTGTTAACCCGGGCGACGTCCGAGCCGGTATGGCATTCTGCAATTTACGTCTCACCATATTTTTTATGGGAGAGACACTCTTTGTCTGACTCCTCTGATGAGACCTGTCCAGTATGGTTGAACCTCTGGCATAGCTCTCATCTTCCTCAGAGTACACAAGTCCCACAACCACGTCAAGGTAGTGCCTCACTGGGGGATTATTATTATTATTATTATTATTATTATTATTATTATTATTATTACTTCTTCTTATCCTGCCCTCTGGTGCCTTAGAGAATAAGTCAACCCCCTCCTCTCTGTGACAGCCCCTCAAGTATTGGAGACAGTTACCATGTCCCCGTAACCCTTCTCTTCAATGGGCTGGACATACCTAGCTTTCTCAACCGTTCATCATACTATTTAACCTCCAGACTCTTTATCGTCTTTGTTGCTCTTCTCTGCACACTTTCTAGGGACTCAGCATCTTTTTTTGTAACACGGTGACCAGAATGGGACACAGTATTGCAAGTGTGGCCTGACTAGTGGATACCATCATGTCCTGAAAACAAGGGCCCTTCCTACCTTCTTCTCGCATCTGCTCATACTTCCTGATGGCGATGTGATGGCGCCACGCTTTCTGGATGACCCGGGCGTACCCATCAAACTTTCGTTCCCGCATTTCCTCAAGGAGGAAGAGCTGGCAGCAGAAAGAAAAATATCACTTGAAGGCAAGCAGAAGAGAAGGAGGAACCCCCCCCCTTGCAGTTATGCTTTTAAAAATCTCCTATCAGCCCCACCGGGTAGGCCAGACCAAGAACACAACCCCACAGGAAGGCTAAAACTACTTTTATCGAAATGGCTATAATAACAGAATCTTACACCCTGAGTTGTGCTACCCCCTCCCCTTCACATGTGACTTAGCAATCCCTTTCCAAATACCGTATTTTCCGGCGTATAAGATGACTTTCTAAACCATGCAAATCTTCTCCGAAGTTGGGGGTCGTCTTATACGCCAAGTCGTCTTATACGCCAGAAAATACGGTATTATCTACCTGTTGTGGACTTAGGATATGAGGGGTCCTTGGTGCTCTCTGAGCTTGGTTGTTTTCTTGAATATGCTTCATTGCCTAAACTAAGTAACATCATCAGTGCTGAGCTACAAATACAGATAGTCCTCACGTTACAACGGTTCATTTAGTGACCGTTTGAAGTTACAACATCATTGAAAAAAGTGACTTAGGGTCGTTTTTCACATGACCGCTGTGGCATCCTCATGGTCACATGATCAAAATTCAGACGCTTGGCAGCTGGTTCATATTTACGACGGCTGCAGTGTCCTGGAGTCATGGGATCCCCTTTTGCGTCCTTCTGACAAGCAAAGTCAATGCGGAAGCCAGATTCACTTAACAACCCTGTTGCCAACTTAACAACTGCAGTGATTCACTTAACAATTGTGGCAAGGAAGGTCATAAAATAAGGCAAGATTCACTTAACAACTATCTCACTTAGCAACGTAAATTGTGGGCTCAATTGTGGTCGTAAGTCGAGGACCACCTGTGTTCCTCAACCCTGAATACAAATATTCTCCGTTATTGGTACTTATGCTTTGCCATTTGCCACTTTATTGCCAGTGGTGGAATTCAAATACCTGAACAACCAGTTCTCTTATTCGATAGAGGCCTGGGCCTCTGAGGCTTAGAACGGACTTCCGGAAGTGGTATCTATGCACTTCCGGCGGGCCGTTCTAGACCTGGGAGGCCTAGACTGGACTTCTGGAAGACAGCCGGTTTTCTGAATGCAGCAAAATTTAGCTACTGGTTCTGCTGAACCGGTGCAAACCAGCAGAATCCCACCGAGCCTTGCGTATCTCCATCAAGGTTGCCTTCTTTACCCTCAGTCTTGTAATTCAGTTTTTAGATTATATTTTTTTACATGACATCAACAATATCAACAAAAGAACCTCGTTTTTCAAAAGAGGTAAGCTAAGGTGGCCTAGCTTACCGACTCTGGATTCTTGACAAAAATCTTTGTGCGGCCCATCTGATACTGATCCACATCCATGTTGACAGACCTTAACAAGTGCTGGACTCCTTGGCGTTCATCCCCTCGCCACCTTGGCCACGTTTCTGGGGTCAGGATGGCATACCTTAAGAAAAGAAGCACATGTATGTGCTCAGATAATAACCCCAAATAACATCCAAGGAGTCCATGACTATAAACATAATCAGTTTTCTTGAGGGTCAGCAGGATCCATTTCATTTTTGTGTGTGTGATCTGTGCAGATATAATGCTGAAAAAATGCTGTTCCTTCCCCCATTCCACTTCCTCTCTTTCAGAAAATAATCTGGTTTTCTTCTCTTGTTTTCCCCCCAACCCAAGGATTTAAGTATCTCAGAAAAAGTGGAAACCTCCATTCCTGGCCATTGACAACAGTCAATTCTATATTATCCATTCCTGGCCATTGACCAAAGTCCAAATTCCATAATCCATTCCTGCCATTCACAAAAATAATTATCTGGAGGGAAGGTGGGAATGAATTAGTATAGGAGGGTGTCCACGGTTCCCCTGGGAGAGGTGAAGAATTTGATGAATGAGTCTCTTTTTCCTCCCAGCTAAGCCTGGCCAAAAGGTTGACTGTCAACACACACTATCCTACAGGGATTAGCTCAATCATAGTAAGACTGTGTAACTCTTGGTTTTAGGGCTGCCTGCATCCACTTATTTTCCCTCTTTAGTTCTGGATAGGGTTGTGCTATTACAGACAAAACTGGTGCATAATTTAGGGGTCCTCCTAGACTCACAGCTCCTGTTGAAGGAGCAGGTGGCAGCTGTGGCCAGGAGAACTTCTGCCCAACTTCATGTTGTGTGCCAGTTGTGTCTCATCTTAAACCAGGAGGCACTAAACATGGTGACTCATCCTTTGATCACCTCCCAAGTGGATTACTGCAATATGCTCTACATAGACCTGCCCTTGGAGAACACTCTGTTGTTACAATTATTTCAGAATGTAACAAACAATTATGGACATATGTTGACATACCCATGTTACATCTTTGCTATGTCAGCTGCACTGGCTCCTACTATGTTTCAGAGTGGAATTCGTGGTGCTGGTCGTCATCTATAAAGACCTTCATGGCATTGAGCTAGGTTATTTGAGGAACTGCCTCTCTTCAATGATGTCTACCTGTCCCATCAGGTCCAGCAGAAGGGAGATGCTCTGGATCCCAGAATCTTGTGGGACCCAGGAAATGTGTGGCTGCATTAGCCCTTTGGAAGACCATTCTACCCAAGATTAAGTTGGTGCTTTGGAAAAGCCCTCAAGACTTGGCTGTTTTCTGAGCATGGGTAGTTAGTTGAATGCATGAAGTATTGGTTGAACTGATGTTTTTTCAGATATCATTTTATGCTTCTTGTTTTTGATTGCTGTATTTATTTTATTGATATTTTAAATTTGGTTAGCTGCCAAAGTCATATTGTGAAATGGGGGGGGGTTTGTATAAATCATCTCATATCATCATCATCATCATCATAGTTGGAAGGACCTTGGAGGTTGCTTTTCTCTTTGGTTAGTTTCCATCTATTCCTTCTTGTCTTGCCTTCTGGTGCTTTGGAGAATATGTTGACCCCTCTTCTTTGTGGCAGCCTCTTAAATATTTGAATCTCGTCTCATCTCTTCTCTAGCCTACCTATCCTATCCTATCCTATCCTATCCTATCCTATCCTATCCTATCCTATCCTATCCTATCCTATCCTATCCTACCCAACCCTACCCTACCTACCTACCTACCTACCTACCTACCTACCTACCTACCTACCTACCTACCTACCTATCTATCTATCTATCTATCTATCTATCTATCTATCTATCTATCTATCTATCTATCTATCTATCTTCTCTCTCTCAGTCTTTCAGGCAAGGAGCTACAGCACCAGATTCATGATAACAGCAATCTAACTTCTTACCTTTGCAGGAATTTATGAAAGACTCTGCGATATGCAAATCCAGCTCGACGGACTCGGATATTCTCCTTCAGTCCCAGGTACTCCACTTGGTGCTTCACCCTGCAAGATGTATGTGTAACATAGGAGGGAGATGTACCTCTCAAGGACATTAGTCTTATGAAAATTGATAATGAGGGAAGTACAGGTAATCCTCAACTTATAACTTTTGTTTAGAGACTGTTCAAAGTTACAAAAGCACTGAAAAAACCAGTGGTGGGATTCTGCCGGTTTGCATCGGTAGCTAATTTTTTGTTGCCCAGGCTCAGAATGGACTTCCGGAAGCGGCATCCACACAGAGAACCAGTTGTTCACATATTTGAATCCCACCACTGGAAAAAACTGATTTACAATTGAGCCTCACCTTTATGACCACTGCACTATCCCTATGGTCACGTGATCAAAATTTGGATGCTGGGCAAACAAGGATTGCAGCATCCCAGGGTTATGTGATCACCATTTGTGATCTTCCCATCTGGCTTCTGACAAGCAAAGTCAATGGGACAAGTCAGATTCACTTAACGACTGCATGATTTACTTAACAACTGTAGCGTGTCAATGCTGCTAACATTGGATGTTCTTGCTTTGACAAAATATGAAGAGGCCGCCACTCTGTGATGACCCAGGGCCCCGAACAGAGGCAAAGCAATTAGCTGGTCAGAACAATTGTCTTTTTAAGCACTGCCAACGTTCACCCAACAGCCCCCACATATGCTGGCACAAGTTCAATAAAACAGTTAGGGAAGTTTACATGGTTCTTTAAAGTAAAACAGATAACAAGCAAACGTATAATCCTTTCAACTCCTAGCTTGCCTGTGAACTGCAAACTGCAAAACTGCAGACAGCAAGAAGAAATCAGCAGGAAGCAAATTTGGTCCAAACTACAAAGTGTCCAGGTACAAGAGCACACTATCACAAGAGTTCATGTTTGTTCCCGGCAAATGTCCCACCCCATTGCGTCTCCTTAAATCCTACTCCCCAGGTGTGCCTTGTGGAGTGGGGTGTGACGCTCTCCTCCCGAGCAAGTGAGCCTGCCTCCGTTGTTTCCTCCTCCTCTCTGCTCTCCTTGCTTTGGGATCTGGTGGGGAGGGGCCTTGCTCCTCGCCTGAACTTCGCCTTCCCTGTTCCAAACTTGAAGGGCCCTGGCCTGCTTCAGCCTGCTCCTCCCCACAGTCCTCCAAAGCCACAGACACCCCCTCCTGGGCCTCAACAGAGAACTCCATGTCGTCCTCAGAGTCAGACTCGGATGGAGGCATGACACACTCTTTCTATAAGCTGTGTGGTACTTTTAGAGTTAAATTAGATGATGCTGGGAGGAGAGGAGAAAGAATGTGTGTGGGGATTAGTTAAGATAAGAAACCGTGGGCTACAGAACAGGAAGGGAAACTTTGCCCTTCAAACTGATTGGAGAATGTGATTTATGACTGCAAATTAGAGGAGGGAAATTATGATTGAATATTATGTGCTCAGAGGAAGGGAATTCAGTTCTCGGCATCCACCATGCTGTGCCGAGGCTTTATTTCACGATTAAAGACTTTTGAGGATAAACAATGGCTGGAAGTTCTTTGAAGTGTTTCGTTAGTCGGAACCATGACATAGTGATTTGTTTAACAACAGTTGCAAAAAAAGGCTGTAAAATTAGGTGTAGCTCTCTTAACTACTATCTTGCTCAGCAATAGAAATTTTGGCCCCAGCAAGGCCATAGGACAAGGATTACCTGTAACAGGAGTGGTTAATATCTTAAATGCCCTTTAAGAAGATTAACTTTTGCTTTTGGTTCATGGTTTTGATGGAGATTTTTGCACCATTGGTTAATTCCTTCTCTCTTACCTACTCTCTTCCCAGTCTCGCGGCCTCTTCGTCTCATTGGGTTTAATGCAACGGATGTAATGAGGTGTGCATTTCATCAGCGTTTTCACAAGATCGTTGGCCTGTTTCTGGGGAGATTAAAGATTCTTGGTGTCACCCAATCTGTTACTTAAATTCCACCATGTTCTGTTCCAGAGCACCAAAAATAAAACACTTTCCAAAGGAAAAAAGAGGCTTCTAGAATTCTCCCTGTCAAATCTTCTCACTGAAGTTTGAAATGTTGTTGTGACCTGATCCTTCCTTGGGATGTAATAATAGTATTAGGACTCCTTCTATTATTTATTTATTTACATACTTATGTTTATCCTGCCTTTTTATTTTTATAAATTAGTCAGGGCAGTGCACATATTCCTTCCTCTTCCTATTTTCCCATGACAACAAGCCTGCAAGGTGGGTTGGGTTAAGGAGGAATGATTCCCCCAAAGACACCCAGCTGGCTTTCAGACCTAAGGTGGGACTAGAACTCACAGTCTCCCAGTTGTTGTTGTTGTTGTTGTTGTTAATTGCGAAGTCGTGTCCGACCCATCGCGACCCCATGGACAATGTTCCTCCAGGTCTTCCTGTCCTCTATCATCTTCTGAAGTCCATTTAAGTTCACACCTACTGCTTCAGTTCCTAGCCTGATGCTTTAACCCAGGGGTCTTCAAACTTGGCCCGTTTATGACTTGTGGACTTCAACTCCCAGAATTCCTCAGCCAGTGTGCCTGGCTGAGGAATTCTGGGAGTTGAAGTCCACGTCATAAAAGGGCCAAGTTTGAAGACCCCTGCTTTAACCACTAAACCTGATCATTGACAAACTACAGAGATTGCTTTTATTGCCTGTAGCTGCTTCCTAATATCAGCTGTTGAGGAACAAATTAAAAAAAAAAAGCTCTAACCCAATGGAAATGTACCTTAATTTTGGATCCAGCTGTAGTGGGCCGTCCTTTTTTATCTGAATCAAGTTTTTCTGGGAAAAGCATCCGGATGAAAGCACTAAGAAAGGGAAAAGAAAGTAAGAAAAAACTAGAATTTTGGAAATGGACCTGTAAAAATACACCACTGATGCAGACTATGATTGTATTTGAGCTGGTATTCCCCTGTATCTAAGGGGCACAAAGGGATAAATTCTCCCCTGCTTTATATTCAGACTGACTCTGAATAAGTTAGTTTACTATTGATAGCCATACATTTATCTAAGATCCTCTTGGTAAGAACAAAAAAAGGTCTTGTTGCATAAGAATCTTTGTTGCTTCTGAAGGCTGAAAGAACATTGTACCACAAACCCTGTCTGTCAGGGTTATGGGTGTGACTTTGATACACTTATGGTACATATTAGTCCATGCATAGAAAAATAGGTGGATATTACAAGATGTATGCTTTTAAACACCAGTTGTATCTTATTCTGTTTCTATTTGTTTTTAACTGTTAACTGTTCAGAGTCATGTACATGAGATGGGCAGCCATATACATTTATTGAATAAATAAATAAATTGTGATACCCTAATACAGAGGTCCCCAACCTTTTGGGCACCAGGGACTGGTTATGTGGAGAGAGATTTTCCTGCGGACCGGAGGGGGCGTGGTTTTGTGTGCTGCCTGCATCCCACAGATGAGGCTTTGCTTGTTTGTGCGGCCCAGTTGCTGGCAAGCTACGGCCCGTACCAGTCCACGGACTGGGGGTTAGGGACCCCAGCCCTAATAGACTGCTTTTGACAGTCTGAACAACACCTCCTCTCCCCAGAAACACTGCTATTTGTTTATCTAGCCCAGATTTGGGGATTTTTTGCCTCTTTAAATCAGGATCACAAATTTGATTTATGTCAGAACGACAGTTCCCAGAATTCCAAGCTAGCATGTCCTGTACACATCTCATGGCACCAGTTTAAGCAAGTCTGCTTTGAAAGTTGTTGGAATAAAATCCTGACTCTTGGGCATATTATCTGATGGGAGCTGTAGTCCAAGTACACTCCAAACCCTTCTGTTTTCCTTCATTACGTGCTTTTTGGGTGGGTATCACGATGCCTCCGTGAAGCTTATAACCCAGTACAAAAAATGAAAAATATGGCCAAGTGAGGTTTGGGGGAAGGGAAAGCAGGGGAAACAGACTCACAATTCACTGGTTTGCATTAGTTCTATCAGGTCGGTGAAAAGCACATCCCGATTTCGTTCACAAAAGCCGTTTACGTCATAGGAGACCTGTGGTTAGGAGAGGCCGATGGTTAGCATTTCTGCCATGTGTAACTCCTGTTATGTCTGTTAAGTGGGATCTGTGATCTCTCACTGCTTTCTTCAAATAAATCTATCTGCTCCCAGTCTACTACAAGGGTCCCCAAGCTTGGCAACTTTAAGACTTGTGGACTTCAACTCCCAGAATTCCTCAGCCAGCCAAGATGGCTGAGGAATTCTGGGGGTTGAAGTCCACAAGTCTTAAAGTTGCCAAGCTTGGGGACCTCTGGTCTAGTACCTTCTCCACCATACAGTGACATCAGAATGTTACTTACAACTGGTCCTCATACTGATGATTACCATAGCATCCTCACGGTCATGTGATCAAAATTTGATCTCCTGGCATGTTGCAAAAAAGGCCATAAAACCACTCAACGACCTCCTTGCTTAGCAATGGAAATTCTTGACCCAATTATGATTGTATGTCAAGGAGTACTGCCTTTGCTCTTCTAGTTTGTATGTGCAGGTGTATACACACACACACAGATAGTCCTCCCTTAAGGGTCACTTGTTCAGTGACCATTCAAAGTCACAATGACTCTGAAAGATGAGAGTTATAACTGACCTCATCGCGGCAGCCGTTGCAGCATCCCATGGTTGCGTGGTCGCTATTTGGGTGCTTGGCAACTGGGTCATAACCAGTGGTGGGATTCAACCAGTTCGCACCAGTTCGACAGAACCAGTAGCTAATTTTTTTGTTGCCCAGGCTCAGAATGGACTTCCGGAAGTGGCATCCACCCAGAGAACCGGTTGTTCACATATTTGAATCCCACCACTGGTCATAATTGCAGTGATTGCAGCAACCACAATCATGCAATCACCATTTGTTGTCTTCCCTGTCAGTTTCTGCCAAGCAAAGTCAATGGGGAAGCGTGCAGGAGATTGCAAATGCTGATCTCCCAATTGGGATTCACTTAATGACAGCAGCTGCAACTGCTGCAGCTACGAGGTTGTCACACTTTATAATCATGTTGCTCAGCTATTAAGTTCCCAAATCCAATTAGCAAACACTACCTGTACATACATACATATACGTATGATCAATTTAAACATAATTTTAACTATTCTGAGTTCAGTTTATACACAAACACACATACACAGAGCTGGAAGGGACCTTGGAGGTCTTCTAGTCCAACCCCCTGCTCAAGCAGGAAACTTGATATGATTTCAGACAAATCGTTGTCCAATTGATTCTGGAGCACCCATGACTTCTGGAGGCAGGTTGTTCCATTGATTAATTGTTCTAACTGTCAGGAAATTTCTCCGTAGTTCTAGGTTGCTTCTCTCCTTGATTAATTTCCACCCAATGCTTCTTGCCCTGTCTTTAGGTGCTTTGGAGAATAGCTTGACTCCCTCTTCTTTGTGGCAACCCCTGAGATATTGGAACACTGCTATCATGTCCCCCCTCGTCCTTCTTTTCATTAAACTAGGCAGACCCAATTCCTGTAACCGTTCCTTATATGTTTTAGCCTCCAGTCCTCTAATCATCTTTGTTGCTCTTCTCTGCACTCTTCCTAGACTAGTCTCAACATCTTTTTTTATATCACGGTGACCAAAACTGGATGCAATACGAGTATGTGCAACTCACAGCCCGTCAGTAGATCAGAGTTAGCATTTTCAGCCTAGAAACTGGAGAAGCCAAATTGAAAGGAGTAAGGAAGGGAGGGCTAGGAAGAAAAGTGGGGAGTTCGGGAGACCTTGCCAGCATAGTGGTGGATGATGAATCCTGAACTGGAGCCGTTGAAATGCTCGTGGGTCCCCACTCCGGACTGCAGCTTCTGCAGCAAGATCTGGTCGGCCCCCTCGCCCTTTGCATACACAGTAGCGCAAACATCATCTAAGATGCTCATAATTCCAGGAGGATTCTGGAAGACAAAAAGAGTGAAGGAGTGAAAATCTGGTCTCTCCATCCTGTTCAAGAGGGCAAAGCTGCTTGAGTCCCAACAAGGCAAATTCAAACTGCCTTTAAACTGATTGTAAAATGTGTTGTTGAGAAAAGAGCGAAATGAGCTTCTGTTTTGTCCCAAAGGTGCTTTTTCAAGAGGCAACAGGATGTTCTTTGTTTTTCCTTGAAGACATTTCATTTCTCATCCAAGAAGCTTCTTCAGTTCTGACTGAATGGTAAGGAATGGAGGGATTTATATTCCTTGCAGTCATCTGGTTGTTAGCACTCTCTCTGAGAGTCATTGAGGCCACCTGGAGGCTTATCTGTGCCCTCAGGGTCACTTGAATAATGGAACTGCTGAAAGGACTGTTGTAAATAGGAGATAGGAGATGTCATATCTCTCCCTCCCTGTTGAGAGAGGGCTGCATAATTCGAATGTAGCTGGCCTCTTTCACCCCTCTTTCAAACGTCTTCAAAGGAAAAAAAGAAAGTCCAGTTGCCTTTTGAAAAAGCATTTTTGGGACAACTGTGACCTGGATGACAGACTCTCTGTAGTCATTTACCTATGGGCTTCTGTATTATAATGTTGCTTGTATGTATTTGTTGTTCAGATAGAGATGGCTTTATTTTCCCCAGCTGGTAGCAAAAATCTTCAAAGACTCCTTTTGGCAATTGTAATTTATTGGTCTTCTGTATCATTTTAAATCATTCTGGGAGTTGAAGTCCAGATAGCTTAAAGTTACGGAGGTTGAGAAATGAAGATTTATCTATCTATCTGTCTGTCAAATGTATAGGTTGTCCGTCTTACCTCAAGGTAACTTTGAGGTAAGAAATGTAATTCCAGCCAGGAAACAAAGCTAAATTTATGGTAAGGCCACCCAGAGTCACTTTGGATAGTGCAGTAGATGGCATATAAATTTAATAAATAAATACAGTCTCCAAGGTTTATTTTTTACAAAATAATGGCTGCCATCTTCTTTCTAGAATGCTCTAGAACAACATACCCATTTTAGGCGCATTCTAATCAACAAAGTTTTAAATGAATTTTAGGGAAGAAAAAGGCATGGATGTTTCATTTTTTAATGTAAAAAAAACCCACGGCCTTTTAAGAATTTAATTCAACTGAAATAAAGTATGAATGCCATCCCCAGCTCAACCCCCCCCCCATACTTCAGTGAGTCTTTTCACATCATCTCCCCCTCAGTCCTTCTCTTACCACTTTGTTTTCAATGAGATCACACACAATTTTGTTGTTGAAATATTCAATTGGGGTCCACTTGATGCCTTCCTGGACATACTCTTCCTAGAGCAAGGGGAGAGATTGCTTTTAAAAAAACAAAGAAGCAATTCACGCAGATTCAAAGAACAGCTAAAAATGAGGATAGACTTAAGAATACTATTAGTTCTGTCTGATCTGATAATCTGCAGCTCACAAATCAGAACAGAACAAAAGAGTTGGAAGGGATCTTAGAGGCCTTCTAGTCCAACCCCTGCTCAAGCAGGAGGCCCGATACCCAATCTCTTCTTAAAAACCTCCAGTGTTGGACCGCTCTGGAGGCAAGTTGTTCTACTAATTAATTATTCTAACTGTCAGGAAATTTCTCCTTACTTCTAGGTTGATTCCCTCCTTGGTTAGTTTCCATCCATTGCTTCTTGTTTTGCCTTCACGTATGTTAGAGAATAGGTTGACTCTCCCCTCTCTTCTTAGTGGCAGATATTGGAACACTGCTATCATGTCACCTGTTGTGTCCTGGGCCTGATGAGGAAACTCAGCAGGCCCAGAATTGTTGCAAATGGTCCCGGGCATTCTAAAAGCTGCCCGGTACCAGACAGAGCGGCGCCAGCTTGTGCGCATGCACAAGGCGCGAAGAAAGAAGAACTCTTATTGGTTCACTCTGTCCGGGGTTCAAGCGTGCCTTTTGCCTTTTGCTAGGAGTTGGAGTCGAAGTTGGAGTAGGAGTAATAAAGCATTGTTCGTTATCATCATGTGTCTTCATCATTTGCATGCGAATGGAGAACTCAACATCACCCTAGTCCTTCTCTTTATTAAACTAGACATACCCAATTCCTGCATCCATTCTTCATGTGTTTTAGCCTCCAGTCCTCTAATCCAGGGCTTTTCAACCTTTTCACCCATTGTACCACTTTTAGGATATGGCAATATCCGAGAACCACCAGTCCCCTAGCAAGGTGTCAAAAACTTGATGACCCCCCCCCAAAAGGAAAAAAGTGATAAAAGTACAGGTAGTCCTCAACTTACAACAGTTCGCTTAGTGACTGTTTGAAGTTACAGTGGCACTGAAAAAAGTGTCCCGCAAGCCACAGCCGAGCAAGACACCTGCCTGTCCGCCCGGCGGTGCTCTTCCTCCTGTCCGAGGTTTTCATTCTTGTGAACATTTCTGTTGAGGATTGGCAGCGGGGATGGGGTGGGGGGTGTTTGGTTTTTATTCCCCCCATCTGCTGGGTGGTTGCAGCAGGTTTTGGTCACTTCACATGACCCTGGGACACTGTGACCATCATAAATATGAATCAGTTGCCAAGCATCTGAATGTAAATCACAAGACCCTGGAGATACTGCAACATTCCAGCTGATTGGCGCTTCTTCTGGGCTCAGTGGAATTGCCAGGATCAATGCTGCTTTCCAGCTGATTGGTGCTTCTTCGGGGCTCAGCAGAAGCACCACAATCAGCGCTGAGCTCCAGCTGGAACCTGGTGCTGATCCTGGCACTTCCACTGAACCCTGACAGCCCCGAAGAAGCGCCGATCAGCTGGAAAGCGGCACTGATCATGGCACTTCTGCTGAGCCCTGACAGCCCTGCAGCTCCAGCCATCTCTCGCTCAGGCTTGTGCGGTGCTACCACTGGTTCAGCTCATTCCCCTCCCCCACTACCACTTTTCTAGGATGGTTGCGTACCACCTACCAGGTGCCAATGTACCACCGGTGGTACCCATACCACTGGTTGAAAAGCCCTGCTCTAATCATCTTTGTTGCTCTTCTCTGTACTTTTTCTAGAGTCTCAACATCTTTTTTAAAGTCTTGAAGACCAAAACTGAACCCAATATTACAAATGTGGTCTTACCAAAGCATTATAAAGTGGTACTAACATTTCTCGTGATCTTGATTCTGACCATCTGTTAATGCAGCCTAGAACCTGAGGGCAATTTTTCCAAACCTGATGCCTTCCTGATATGGTGGAATTAAAACTCCTGAAGTTCCCAGTCTGCCTTGTGGTTAGGAATTCAAGGAGATGCCAAACATCCTAACCTGGGGATACAGTCCTATGTCCAGTTTAGGAGAGGTGGTCTCACAATCGGAGACTGATCCACAGAATCCACAGTCCACCCTCAGAAGAATTTGTATCTTCTCCCACACTGGACTCACCTGCTCTGCTTTAAGTGTCAATTCAATGAAGATCTGTTGAAGTTTTTCATTCACAAAGTTAATGCAGAACTGTTCAAAGCCATTTCTCTGAAGATCGGGGAAACATGAGGCAAAGGAAAGGAGAAGAGTTTTGGAAAGGAGGTGGTTAGTTGACATTCCCATCAAATTCCAGACTTGGAGAAAAGAAATGGAGAACTGAGTGGAACTGGAAAGGATCACAGAGTCCAAATCAGCATGACTCAAGCCAGCAAATTACATGGGAAGCTTCCCATTGCTAAGAAATTATTCCTTCATAAGATAGAGCCAGAATGGTCTAGTGCAGGGATAGTCAACCTTGGCTCTTTTATGACTCGTGGACTTCAACTCCCAGAATTCCTGAGCCAGCATGGCTCAGCTTGGAAACCTCTCCCTTTCCCCTCAGCATGGCTGGCTCAGGAATTCTGGGAGTTGAAGTCCACGACTCATAAAAGAGCCAAGGTTGCCTACCCCTGGTCTAGTGATTAAGGCACCAGGCTAGAAAGCAGGAGACCTGAGTTCAAGTCCAGCCTTAGCCATGAAATCCAGCCAGGTAGCTTTGGTCAGTTATTCTTTCAGCCTAGCCCACCTCACAGGGTTATTGTTGTGGGGAAAATATGAGGAGGAAGGTTATTGTATATGTTCACCGTCTTTGGTTGTTTCTAAAAACAATAAAGGTGGGATACAAATAAATAAATAAAAATAAATGATCAACCATTGAAAATAACCAACAACTAAATTAATGGGGTCTCAAAATTTTCAGAGTTTTTCTTTGTTTCTGCTTAAATGTAACAAATGATTCCTATTCTGTCAGAACCTCCTAGTTGAGGGATGTGTATAATGTGCGGATTACACAAAATAAAATTTTGATTGGACTTGTGACATGCTGAACAAAATGGGCCAAAATTTGCCAATTATGTCCTTATTTTCATCAGATAAATCTCTTGTCTGTTGTATGTACGTGACTGGAGGCTAGTAAGGTCACCCAAACCCTTTTTACTATATTAAAATCTATTACTGATAGTTCTAGCTTAAAAATATTACTGGTAGTCCTCGTTTAACGATCTGTCATTTAGTGACTGTTAAGAGTTATGATGGCATGGGAAAAGTGACTTATGACAGGTCTTCACAGCACTGTCTTGATCACATGATTGTAATCCTGGTGCTTGGAAACTGAGCTGGATTTCCAGCCATTGCAATGTCCTGTTGTCATTTATTTATGGCTCCTTAGATATTAAAGTTAATAATGAATATTGTTGTCTTTTACTAAACTGTTAAATAATATGACCAACTGGACAATGGTGTCTTTGTGGTACAGAAACATTTTTGAGTTCAGAATTTTCTCAAAAGCCAAGATCACTGGTTTCTCTTAAGACAGAGGTCCCCAACCTATGGGCCATGGTCCATTACCGGTCCATGGCCTGGTGGCCGACAGGCTGCGTGAGTGGCTAGCCAGTGAGCATGTGTGTGTGCACAAACTCAACCCCCTGCACTAGGGTCACTCCAAGGATCGCGCAGGTGCTAGTATCACCACGAGAGTTGCGGGTGCTAGCATCACCGTGAGCATCGCGCATGCACTTGAGCTCCCGTTTGCATCACACACTGCTTGTGGACCCATTTGAGTCACACGCGTGCTTGCAGCCATGCTTGTGGTGTGTGCGGTGTGGCCCCATTTGCATGTGGTCATGCGCATGTAGAGGTGTCCCTCCCTTCTGGGCCATCAACCAAGAAAGATTGTGGATTTCTGCTGTAAGACACAGACCTACCTGGAATATTTCAAAACCATAAATGTCTAGGACACCAACACTGTATTCTTCATTTGGTTTCTGCATGGCTTTGTTGATGGACTGGAAGTGAAGAGAAAGGGATTACTAGCTGCAAAAAAGATAGAACTTTATTATCAGAGGCCACATAACTTCAGTGTTGGTAACTGAGTGATAAAAAATATTACCATCTGGTAGAGAAGACCCCAAATTCCCAATATAAGATACCTCTTTCTCAAACAAAACAAAGCAAAAAAGCGTAGTTCCCTCAATTTCTAGCATTCAAAGAAATTTGGAGTGTTAAACAGGCCACTGTTTTTCTGAGAAAATTTTAGTTCTTCTCCATCTGAGAATGTTAGTCTTTCTCATGTCGGGTAGCATTGTAATAAGTCCATCTTTCTGATTTGGTGTTCAACCCCCCCCCCATCTTTCTGATTTGGTGTTCAAACCAGACACCATTGTATTCAACATTTTCCAGTTAGTCCAGTTCTATTTTGTGACTGAAAATACCATAGAGTTGGAAGTGATAAACTGGACACTATTCTTGTTCCACCCACTGCAGAAAGTCCATCTCTCTCAGTTGTTAAAGACAGAAATGGAATGAGCCAACCAGTCATCAATTTGTTCCCCTCCCCATCCCAAAGGTCCCCCTACAGCACAGAACAAGGTTGCATACCTCAACGAGGAAGTCAAAGACCCGGGCATAAAGGCCTTTGGCTAGGGCATCACGAGTATAGGACGCTTGTTCTACATTGAGGGTTACATTAATGGACTCTGACCGGCCACCCCATTTGCTGTCCATTTTCCGACTGGTGAGCTTCTCATCTAGGCGGTCCTTGTCAATTCCCAAAAGGTAGGCGGGAAAAGCTAGCACTGGAATGGGGAAATGGAAAAAGATGTTCATAATATATGAACATTTGCTCATGTTCCAATGCCTTGAATTAGGGAGGTGCAGAGGGAGTAAAGAAAATTACCTTGATGGAGATAGATAGGATCTGTTGAAAGTCCAGAAAAGATAACATTTGGAAGTGGCTCAGGCAGTGAGCTCCCCAATTCACTGGAGTACAGGTAGTCCTTGACTTACAACCATTCATTTAGTAACCATTCAAAGTTACAATGAAAAAAGAGACTTGATGACGGTTTTTCACACTTACAACCATTGCCGCATCCCCATGGTCATGCGATCAACATTTGGATGCTTGGCAACTGACTCATATTTATGACGGCCGCAGTGTCCCAGGGTCACTGTCCCGGTTGCAGTGTCCCAGTGTCCCCTTTTGCAACCTTCTGACAAGCAAAGTCAATGGGGAAGCAGTTCCACTTAACAGTCGTGCTACTAACTTGACAACTGCAGTAATGCACTTAACAGCTGTGGCAAGAATGGTCCTATAATGGGGCAAAACTCACTTAACACTTGTCTCGGTTAGCAACAGAAATTTTTGAGCTCAGCTGAGGCCGTAAATTGAGGACTAGATATATGTATAAAAAGGGGGAAGAAGTACTGCACAATCCGACTTGTATTTTGATTCTGTTTCTACAGCCAGCTTCAGTGAAAGGAGTTTTAACTTTCCTGTGGTCTGTGTCTTTCTAGTAGGGATGACAGGCATCTGTTTGAGGCACTTCCAAATACTATCTTTTTTTTTTTAGGGCTTAAATAACATTTCAACCTTTTTTTCAGGTATGTATTATCATGTTTGGTGGACATGTGATAAAGTAAAGAATTATTGGAAAAAGATACATATTTGGTTAGAAAAGATGTTGGGAGAACATGTAGATTTTAAACCTGAACTTTTTTTTACTAAGTATAATGCCAGAAAACACTAACAAACAAAGCCTATATTTGATTTTATATGTCACAACAGCGGCAAGAATAATATTTGTGCAATACTGAAAATATGAAGGAATAGCACCAAATGAAGAAATAATTAAAAAAATACTAGAATGCACAGAGATGGACAGACAGATTGACTGAGACTGAAAGAAAAAGAAAAAACAGAATATTATCAAACTTGGGACTTATTTTATCGATGGTTAGAGGAAAGAATAAAGGATTAGGAATTAAATATATATTAGCGTATTTAAACTCAGACAGCACGTTGGTTGAAAAAATATTATTGTATGTGTGGAAAAAATTAATAAAATCTTATAAAAAAAACCCCCAAAACATTTCAGCCTTTTTTCCCTAGATAATGGTTCTGCCAAGATTATCTTCCTTATTCTGAGAAGAACAGATTAGGAGATTTTGTTTTCCTTATAGAGTTGAACTTATTTTTTTGTATCCTATTCTTGGAGACTGCCTGGGCAAGGCCCTGCAGTTTCCTGGCAAGGCTTTTCAGAAATGGTTTGCCATTGCCTCTTTCCTAGGGCTGAGAGAAAGTGACTGGCCCAAGGTCACCCAGCTGGCTTTGTGCCTAATATGGGACTAGATAGTTTTTGGGTTTCTAGACCAATGCCTTAACCACTTCACCAAATTGGGTCTCATAGAGCAGTGGTTCTCAACCTGTGGGTCGGGACCCCATTTGGGGTCGAATGACCATTTCACGGGGGTCGCCAAACAACGCAGTCCGCCATTTTTTCCCCCTTTTCCTTAGCTGTGCTACTCCCTTTTATTCTATTGGCTTTTGAAAGCCAATAGAATAGACTTTCTTGAATAGAGTCTAATTCTATTGGCTTTCAAAAGCCAATAGGAATTGTCCAGGCTGTCTCTGCCCTGCTGAGCCCACCAAAAGTCCCATTCTGCAAACGGTGCTGCACCAATTGAGTAGTCCTCGACTTACAACCGGTTGAGTAGTCCTCTACTTATGACCGGTTGGGGGTCGTGGCATTAAAAAGGTTGAGAACCACTGTCATAGAGAATGGTAGGCTATGCTATATAAGTGAATGGGCTAAGGTGTGTATTCCATTACACTCTGAACTGACTAGACCAAGGTTTTTCAAACTGGGTTCAGCAGAATCCTAGTGTTCTATAAGATGCTGTTAGGATTTTGTAAGAGACTAAGGAGAAATAATAGTTCAATCATATGTAGCCTATCTTCTATCTTGGTCTCTTGATCATGATTTCTTGATAATAGACATCATGAAAAATACTAGAACTCTATTGATGAAAACTCTAATAACACAATGAAAAACGGGGCTGGACTAGAAGACCTCCAAGGTCCCTTCCAGCTTTCTTCTCTTCTCTTCTCTTCAGTTCAGTTCAGTTCAGTTCAGTTCAGTTCTATTTTATTCTATTCTAAAAAACCTCAGATGTATTCCTTCTTCCCTTCCTCTTATATTCTGGGAAGTTAAAGCAGAGCCTTTGAGTTTTTCCCCCTAAAGTTTTCTTCTTTTCCCAGTTTTAAAACATGTTTTTGTAACTATCAGCACATATTTTTCCAAGGTCATCTTTATGGCTCTTCATATTATCAGTGACCATGTGAGAATTAATGTTAACAGATTAATGAATATATCCCCATTAACTGGTAGCTACTCACAGTCTGAATTCTCCACTTGAGCATAGTTCCCTTTCTCCTCGAAACTGATGTTCCCTAGATGGAGAATACCAGCTACAATCTGTACGACAAGTTGCTTATCTTGGCCTGTGATGCCAATCACATCCATGGCACTCTGGACAGGGGGGGGAGGAGAGAGGGGGGGAGAGAAAAAGGGATGTAGAGGAGAAAGAAGAAGAAGAGGAAGAAGAGAAGGGATAGGAAGGAAGGAAGGAAGGAAGGAAGGAAGGAAGGAAGGAAGGAAGGAAGGAAGGAAGGAAGGAAGGAAGGAAAAGAAAAACAAGGGAGAGAGGAAAGGGAAGAGAGAGGGAAAGAAAAAGAAAGAGAGAGAGAGAGAGAGAGAGAGAGAGAGAGGAAGGAAGGAGGGAAGGAGGGAGAGAGAGGGAGGGAAAGAAAGAAAGATTATTTGTGGGTTTCAAGTACAATGTTTAACATGACTGAAAATATTATGATTTATTTAAATTTATTTAAATTTATTGGCTAAATGGACTCTGGGCAGCATTCAAAAAATGCTGAGTCTTGTAAAATAATGGTCCCTTACCATGGTCTCATGGAATTCACTCCGATCATCTGTGCCATCCACTTTGTAGGTCTCTGCCTGGTTTAAATAATAATAATAATCTGGGCTCATAATGCCCAGGTTGTGTTTCTGATCTTGGGAAGCACCCTCAATAAGCTAAAGAAAGAAGTAGATAAAGACATGAGACTGATGGATTACCATTTAAAATTCTTTAGGACCAGGGGACAAGGTCAACAACTTTTCTTAAAGACTGCAATCTCTCCAAGATCCTTTCATGGGATCCAAATTGCAGAGAGGCAATTAGTGGGTTCAGAAACAAAAATGAATGGGATCCTTGTTCTACCTAGCCCAGTGGTTCTCAACCTTTTTAATGCCGCGACCCCCAACCGGTCGTAAGTCGAGGACTACTCAACCGGTCGTAAGTCGAGGACTTCTCAACTGGTGCAGCACCATTTGCAGAATGGGACTTTTGGCGGGCTCAGCAGGGCAGAGACAGCCTGGACAATTCCTATTGGCTTTTGAAAGCCAATAGAATTAGACTCTATTCAAGAGAGTCTATTCTATTGGCTTTTGAAAGCCAATAGAATAAAAGGGAGTAGCACAGCTAAGCAAAAGGGGGAAAAAATGGCGGACTGCGTTGTTTGGCGACCCCCGTGAAATGGTCGTTAGACCCCAAATGGGGTACCAACCCACAGGTTGAGAACCACTGACCTAGCCCGTCTTTTCCTCCCTCTTTTTGATTTTCTCCCTCTCCCCCCCCTTTGCAGGAATGCACAGACAGTTCCCATTGGAAGTTCAAACTCATCTAATGCAGAACATTTTGGAAACTGAGCAGAGGGTCATCTCAAATGATCTAAAAAATTACATAGTGTCTGTCGACCCACAGCACTGTTTCAACAATTCAAGGGATGCTGTTCAGGCCAACTTTTTAATCTACTGGTAAGACCTTGACTTATGATCACAGTTGGGATCAGTTGCTAAGCAAAGCAGTTGTTTAGCAAGTCACATCCAATTTTACAACCTTTTTCACTACAGCTGTAAAATGAACCATGTGGTTGTTAAGTGAACCCAGCTTCTCTCATTAACTTTGCTTGTCAGAAGCAAAGTCACAAATGCTGCAACCATCAAAAATACATAATACATATATATGCTGGTTGACAAGTGCCCAAATTTAGATCATGTGATGCCGCAAAGGTTGTAAGTGGGAGGACTGATCATAAGTCATTTTTTTCACTGCTGTTGTAACTTCAAAAGGTTGCTAAATGAATGGTTGTAAGTCAAGGACTACCTGTACTTGGGTGGGTGAGGGTAATCTGGGTGACTGGGACAAATCCATAGCCATGGAGGAGGGGGAATTTGAACCTGACTCCCTCAACTTTGTCTTAGAGTCAGACCAACATTCAAACACACCATGTAATGGTATGTGGGAGGGGCTGTCACAGAGAGGAGGGGGGTCAACCTATTCTCCAAAGCACCTGAAGGCCAGACAAGGAGCAGTGGATGGAAATTAATCAAGGAGAGATTCAATCTAGAAAGAAGGAGAACTCTTCTGACAGTGAGGACAATCAACCAATGGAACAGTTTGCCTTCAGATGTTGTGAGTGATTCATCATTGGAAGCTTTCTAGAAGAGACTGGACTGTCATCTGTCAGAAATGGTATAGGGCAGGGGTGTCAAACTCGCAATGTCACGTGACATGTTGCAACGTATCACGACTTTTTTTTGCTATTGCCGGCAATGGGGTGGGTGCGGTTTTGCTATGATGCATCTGGCCTGTGGGCTGGCAGTTTGACACCCCTGGTATAGAATCTCCTGCTTAAATAGGGGTTGGACTAGACCAGGGGTTCTCAACCTTGATAACTTTAAGACTTGTGGACTTCAACTCCCAGAATTCTGGGAGTTGAAGTCCACAAGTCTTAAAGTTGCCAAGATTGAGAACCCCTGGACCAGACCTAAAAGGTCCCTTCCAACTATTCTATTCTATTCTATTCTATTCTATTCTATTCTATTCTATTCTATTCTATTCTATTCTATTCTATTCTAGTCTAGTCTAGTCTAGTCTAGTCTAGTCTAGTCTAGTCTAGTCTAGTCTAGTTATTCTAGTCTATTCTAGTCTATTCTAGTCTATTCTATTCTATTCTAGTCTAGTCTAGTCTAAACAGAGTAGGCAGGGAGAGCCATGGGCTGGACTATTGTGTACAAGGGATCTCAGCCCACAGGAGAAGGGAGGGTGCAAGAAACATGTCTGAAGGGCTCACCCTAGTTTTCTGAAGAGTTAAAAAAACAAAAAAAGGATGTCGGAGACTGCAAGGAGATCAAATCACTCAATCCTAAAGAAAATCAATCCTGCCTGTTCTTTGGAAGGACAGATAGTGTGACTGAAGCTTAAATTCTTTGGCCACCAAATGAGAAGAGAGGATTCATCGGAAAAGGCCTTGATCTTGGAAAGGAGAAGGGGAGGAATGGCAGAGGATGAGATGGTTAGTGTCATCGACACAATAAACATGAATTTGGGCAGACTCTGGGAGATGGTGGAGGACGGGGGCGGGGGCTGGTGTGCTATGATCCACATAGTCCCGAAGAGTCAGACACAACTTAAGTGACTGAATAACAAGAAAAGGAAAGGAAGAGAGAAATAATTTCACTCTTGCTAGTTTGTTAATGTAACCTTATAATAAAGATAAAGCCAGGACACCTGGTTGTGTTTCTTCTCTGGACTAATTTGAAGGGCTAACAAATCAATCAGAAGCCCAACATCATTTTTCTCCAAAATTTTACTTTACTAATTATAAGGAAAAAAATGGACAAAGCACTGAAATACATAATATATATATATATACCATGAACAATCTTTAAAATAAATAAACAACTCCCAAATGTATTGCTGGTCTTAAAACAGTAGTAGCAACATAGGTCACCCCCCACCCCCCCACTGTACAGATTGGGTTGCACAAGCATTTTGTGCCAATGGCCATATATATCTGTGATTTTTCCAATTACCTGATAATAAATGTGGAAGTTCCTTTCGCTCTGGTTTTGGCTCACCACCCGGGATTTTTCCAGTAGGAAATTGGAGATCTTTCCTCCATCGGGCTCACCACCACGACTGAACTGGATCTCAAAGTATTTCCCCTGGTATGAAACAGTGGAGGTTGCAAATCCAATGGTGTTCTTCAGCATCTCATGACCTGCTGACCACAAGGGGGCAGCAGGATGTAGGTTCAAAGTTAAGGATTTCCTTGCTTTTATCTGCTCTTTGTCTAAGACAGTGTTTCTCACACTTGGCAACATGCTGGCTGGGGAATTCTGGGAGTTGAAGTCCAGATATCTTAAAGTTGCCATGGCTGAAAAACACTGGTCTAAGAGACTGGAAATCTGAAACCACTTCCTTCTATTTATCTTCTCCAGACACAGAGCATATCTAGTTGCTAGGTATGGTCTAGCTCAGTGTTTCTCAACCTTGACAATTTTAAGGCATGTGGACTTCAACTCCCAGAATTCCACAGCCAGCAACTGGCAGAATTCTGGGAGTTGAAGTCCACATGCCTTAAAATTGTCAAGGTTGAGAAACACTGGTCTAGCTCTAGTCCAGGGGTAGGCAACCTCGGCTCTTTTATGACTCATGGACTTCAACTCCCAGAATATTAGGTATTTCCTGTAAATAAATGTCCTCACTACTAGAGTTATACAACTTATTTCTTGTCTTTGCTCAGGTCCAATTCCCACTCTCAAGGGTGTGCATGTGCATACAGAAAACATTTCAACCTCCACTGTGAGAGAGGATATATTAGACAAATCCTAAGTGGGAGGATCTAAAAATAGGCACCCCAAGATTTTAAACAGAATAACAGAGTTGCAAGGGGCCAAGAAGGTCTTCTAGTCCAACCCCCTGCTCAGATAGGAAACTTTATATTTATATATTTGTTAATGAGATGTTGGGGGATGACCTATTTTGTCCCATTTTATGACCTTTCTTGCCACGGCTGTTAACTAATCACTGCAGTTATTAAGTTAGCAACAGAGTTGTAAAGTGAACCTAACTTCCCTATTGACTGTCAAAGCTGCAAATGTTGTATATTCTTGCTTTGACAATATGCAGAACTGTCTGGTATTTTTGAGGTTAATACAGAGCAGAAGGGGGTGGGGGCAAAGCCAGAGGAAAGAAAGAGGAAGAAAACCTTTGACCTTCACACTAATTGTATAATGTGACGTATGACAGCTAATTTAGGGAGGGAACATGCTGATAATTTAACTGCTCAGAGGAAGAAAACTTAGATCTTAGCATAAAAATTCGTTATGCCTGTGCCGACATTTTGAAGCAATAAAAGACTTTTAGGGAAATCAATGCCTGGAAGTTCTTTGAAGTGTTTCATTAGCCGGAACCATAACAATTGACTTTGTCAGAAGGTCACAAAAGGTGATTACGTGGCCTTGGGACACTGTAACCGTTGTAAATATGAACCAAGTGTCTGAATTTTGATCACATAGCAGGGGATTAGACTAGATCAGAGGCCCCCAACCTTTGGGGCACCAGGGACTGGTTCCGTGGAGAGAGGTTTTTCCGCGGACCGGAGGGAGCCTGGTTTTGTGTGCAATCTGCATCCCACGATGGGGCTTTGCTTGTCTGGGTGGACCGGTTGCTGGCATGCCGTGGCCCTGTACTGGTCCACAACCCGGGGGTTGGGGACCCCTGAGCTAGATGACCTCCAAGGTCCCTTCCAACTTTATGATGATGATGATGCAACAGTTGTAAGTGTAAAAAACAGTCCTAACTCACTTTTTTCAGGACTGTTTGTAACTTAGAATGAAGTTAGGCGAGGACTACCTGTATTGAAGAATATCCCGTCATGGGCACAATGACATGTTCCTTACAGTTGCTAGCTGCAGATCCCCATTTACTGTAAAAGGTTTTTTTTTTTTTTGCGTGGCTGAAATTTCATGAAATTACCAAATCACACAAAAAGATGACTCTTGTTCCATTTTTGCCCACTACCATCTCAGAGGTTTTGCTTAATGGGCAAATGTTCGAACTGAATGTGAATACTAGTGGAACTTACAGACAGATTGTGCCATTGTGTTCTCCGGTTTATATCTTGACTTAACACATTCTGAGGCCAGGCACGTCTACACAGCAATAGCACTTAGACTTATATACCGCTGCACAGTGCTTTCTAAGCGATTTAGAGTCAGCCTATTGCCTCCAACAATCTGGGTGCTCATTTTACTGACCTAGGAAGTCAACCTTGAGCCAGTTGGGATCAAACTCCTGGCAGTAAGCAGTGAGTTAGCCTGCAGTACTGCCTTCTTACCACTCACCATAGCCAACTTTTTAAAGCCCTACAAAAGGCCTACAGGGTTGGGGCCGTCCTAATCTCTGGGAAGAGAATATTCCACAGAGCAGGGGCCACAGCAGAGAAGGCCTGACTTCTAGTTCCCACTTTTCAACACTCTTTGGGTGACAGGATATGCAGCATGCCCAATCTGCCGGATCTATGTGTGTTTTTATCCTGTAACCTGCCCAGTGTCACTTTTGTGAAATGGGCAGTTATACAAATCCCATAAATAAATAAATTTCCATTTGATAAAAACCCTGCACCCTCTTTCACCCTCTTTTTGAATACTATAAAGCAGTGTTTCTCAACCTCGGCAACTTTAAGATATGTGGACTTCAATTCCCAGAATTCTGGGGAATTTTGGAAGTTGAAGTCCACATATCTTAAAGTTGCCGAGGTTGAGAAACACTGCTATAATACCTTTTCTTTTCTTTTTTGCCATTTTTGCCTCAGCAGCATACATTGCTCCCCATACACCAGCCTGCTATTTCCTATATCGATATCAGAAACGTTTCTTCGGCCCAAATAACTTGCTTCAAAAACTTACAAATCGACTGGAGTTATTATTTCTCACGGTCTTGGCGTTGCCAAAAGCTTCAAGTAATGGATTGGACTGGAGAATGATGTCTTTGACATGCTAAAAAAAAGGAAAAGAAACATTGTGTGGAGGCTAGACAGAACCAGAAAGAACAGAATCACGGTTAGCTAAAAGGGGGTTGGCCTCAGTAGTTGGTGCTGCAATGGTGCAATTGAAGCTCTGCCTGGTTTTTTTTTTTTTTTACATGAGACATCTTTTTAATTGAAGAGTCCTGTAACTGGAACAAAAAGGAATTGTTTAGCCTAACTATTGCTATCTCGCTTTTGTAATCAGCATTTGCGTCAGGGTCACATTTCATGCAAGCATGGGAAACATGTACATGGATGGGATGTACTGAAGGAGAGAATAAGGGAGTGTACAGGAATGATTGATGTCTTCCTTATAATGTAATGGCTCTGTTGTCTGATTTTCATTGGCTAACAAAGTTTATAAAGCAGTGATGGCGAACCTTTTAGCGACCGAGTGCCCAAACTGCAACCCAAAACCCACTTATGCATTGTCGAGTGCCGGGTGGGCGTGGCCTATTGGGTGGGTGTGGCCCATTGGGTGGGCGTGGCTGCAGTGGTAACGGCAGACTGGGTGGGACTAAAAAGTTCAATCAATCAATTCCAATTTGCAAGATTTTTTTTTCCCAGTGAGAAGTTGAAATTGACTGATTGATGGAACCCCCCTTTTTTTGCACACGGTGGCGGAGGCCTAAAGCGAAAAGGTTTTATAAAACCCAGCGGAAGGCCTAGGACTGGGGCGACGGTGCGAGTGCCCACAGAGAGGGCTCTGAGTGCCACCTCTGGCACCCGTGCCATAATTTCGCCACCACTGTTATAAAGCAATGCTACTAACTTTCCAAGGTGTGGCACTTCTCGACGTAACTCTGCCTGCCTTCCAGATTGTTTGCCACCCAGCTGTTTTACTTGATCAAATAAAGCACTGTTTCCTCAAGAAGCCTCTGTTTGAGTAGCCTGATTAGACTTTTAATGGTATCTCAAATTAAATAAGGGCCAGGGACCTTATATTTCGATACAGGTAGTCCTCGACTTATGACCGGTTACTTAATGATAATTCAAAATTACAAAAAAGGGACTTACAATCTGTCCTTGAAGTTGTGATTGCCGTGCCATTCCCCCACAGTTAAATGTCTATGGAGATTCTCAGTCATCCAAGTCACTGAGTGCTTTTTCAAGGGGCAACTGGACTTTCCTGTTTCTCTTTGAAGACGTTTCGCTTCTCATCCAAGAAGATTCTTCAGCTCTGATTTGGAGATGGTGGGGAATGGAAGGAATGTCTGCAAGGAGTATAAATCCTTCCATTCCCCACCATCCAGTCAGAGTTGAAGAAGCTTCTTGGATGAGAAGCGAAACGTTTACGAACATTTATGAACAATTGCAGTACCCTGCTGTCACGTAATCATGGTTTGTAAAAAAATAATAAAAAAAATTGGATGAGTCTGATATGGACTTATGACAACACGATTTGCTTCATGATTGTTATAAAACAGTAGTAAAATTGAGTCCGGTGACATGATGACTTGAATTACGAGCAAAATTGTGAGTTCAGTTGTGGTTGTAAGTCAAGGACTACCTGTATTTTGTGGACAGCCCAGTCTGAAAAGCACTACTGCAAAACTTTATGTAATAAAGAAATGTATCTACATAATAATAATAATAATAATAATAATAATAATAATAATAGAGCCAGTTTGGTGTAGTGGTTAAGGTAGTAGGCTAGAAAGTGGAAGATCGTGAGTTCAAGTCCTGCTTTAGCCATGAAAACCAGCTGGGTGACTTTGTGCCAGTCCCTTTCTCGCCACCCAAGCCACCTCACAGGGTTGTTGTGGGTAAAATAGGAGGACGAATGTGTGTTGAATACGTTTGTCATCTTCGGTCCTTTGTAAAAATAATAAAGGGATCTAAATAACAATAAACGATAAAATAAAAAAAAAACTATAAAACATTTAAAAACTGGCATAAACTTGCAGGATTATAGGAAATGAATCAACAAAGCGAGACTATCTGAATCTACTGGATGGTAGGTATGGCATCTGAAGGGACACAGTTTCAGTTGTGATGCCATACCCGCCATTTTGTAGATTTTAACCTCCCCTCCCCCTCACAGGTGGTCCTGCAAGGATGGAGGGACTCATTCTCCTAAGACGCTGGTCCAGATCACCCCTCAGTCTTCCAGTCTGGGTCCTCCAAGTTCAATAGTTACATTTTTAGGTTTGGAATGATAAATGCCCAATGGCTTGCCCTATACCAGCCTGATGTCTTTCCAATCTGTCGGGATGGTGACTCCCAGAATTCCTGGGTAGGCTAGGAATTCTGGGAGTAACAGATCCAACACATCAGAGAGATTGGCGGCACTTGCAAATCTTGTTGTACATACGTGACTTCTGAAATAAACAGAATCAGATTTTGTTCTTCCCGCACAATGAAAAGTAAAACAACAACAACACAGAATTGGAAGAAGGAAGGGAGGAGAACGCAAGCCCATTGTTCTTGACACTTACCTGCACCTTTTCGCCTCCTCCCGACACCTTGGAAATGTATCCCATGATGTATTTTGCAGCCACTGTTTTCCCAGCGCCACTTTCACCACTAAAAATACACACACATGCTGTAAAATGGTGAAATAGGATGAATTTAGAAAGCAGAGAGAACAGGAGTCTAAATGCCCCATTAGGTCTGGCAGAGAAGGGATGCTATGGCTACCCATCAGCTAGGGACCTTCCTCTGGTGCCTTTTCTGCTGTTGCTCCCACTTATGGAACATCCTTCCCCCTGGAATTAGATTAGCTCCACCCCTTTTGATATCCTGAAAGGTCCTCAAGACTCTGTTGCTCCCAAGAACATCTTTAGATCCTGCTGCTAAAATCCAAATGGCTGGTGGGACCTCCACTGTTTTAGATTCCTAGAACAAAATAGACCTATTTGTGCTTAACCCGCAACCTTTTCACACAAAATGAATGAAACACTCAACTGCATCATCAGGCATACCCCGGTGGCTTTGTAGATGGATGGATAGAAGGAAGGAAGGAAGGAAGGAAGGAAGGAAGGAAGGAAGGAAGGAAGGAAGGAAGGAAGGAAGGAAGGAATAATAATAATAGTAAAGTTGGAAGGGACCTTGGAGGTCATCTAGTCCAACCCCCTGCTCAGGCAGGAAACTCTATACCATTTCGGACAAATGGCTGTCCAGTCTCTTCTTAAAAACCTCCAGTGTTGGAGCATTCACCGCTTCTGGAGGCAGGTTGTTCCACTGGTTAATTGTTCTCACTGTCAGGAAGTTTCTCCGTAGTTCTAGGTTGCTTCTCTCTTTGGTTAGTTTCTACCCGTTGCTTCTTGTCCTGCCTTCAGGCGCTTTGGAAAATAGCTTGACACCCTCTTCTTTGTGGCAGCTCCTGAGATATTGGAACACTGCTATCATGTCCCTCCTCGTCCTTCTCTTCTTTAAACTAGACATACCCAATTCCAGCAACCGCTCCTTATATGCTTTAGCCTCCAGTCTATCCAGGAAGGAAGGAAGGGAGTGGATAGGCAGGCAGGCAGGCAAGCTGCTTAACAGCAAGAAGAAATAATGGAATACAGGTGGTCCTCACCTTATAACTATTCATTTAACAACAATTCAAAGTTACAACAGCCCTGAAAAAAGTGACATAACTTTTCCTCAAAGTTATGACTGTTGCACCCTTCCACTTAATCACATGACCATGATTTGGGCACTTGGCAACTACTTTATATTTGCAAGAGTTGCAGTGTCCTGCGGCCACATGATTGTGCTTTGTTACCTTCCCAATTGTTTCTGCCAAGCCAAGTCAATGGGAAAAAACGGATTCGTTTAATGACCGTGGGTTTCATTTAACGAGCACATGATTTGTTTAACAACCACGGTAAAAATGGTCATAAAATCAGATCCGGTCACTTGATGACTTGCTTTATAACCGTATCACTTAATGATCAAAATTCCTGTCCCAATTGTGGTCGTTAATCAATGCCTGCTTGTATTTGGATAAATTTATTTAAGAAAACTTAAATAGTTTCTGATGCCTTCCGCATTGATTCAGATGGCAGAACAAAACCACTGCTTTAGGCAATGGGCTCCCTGTGATCCTAACCCACTGCTTGTCAAGTTTTCCAGAGCACTTGCTGCCCACCGGGATCCCATTTTGCTCAGAGGGAAGCCGGGGTGAAGCATTGAAAAGACAGTGGAGCCCAGTTGGACAATCAATTGATTTTGGAAAAAAGATTTGATATCAATGGACAAAGGACTTATGATAAGGAACTGGACAATCTTGTTTCAGAAGGACAAGTTGGTTTGCAGACGCCATTTGAATTTGAGATAGAGAAAAAAACATGGGAAGAAGAGAAACATGTGATTAAAGAGGACAATATAAAGGAAAGGATTTTAAGTAAAGTTTACTTAATGTTAAAAGAAAGGGGAAATGATGTTCTGCTACGAGTCATTCAGATTAATTACAACTTTTATACTAATTTAACAAAATGTATAAGGGGAGCTTTCTTTTTGGAGTGTATAGTGTGGCAGGCGGAGGCCCGATTATGGAAACCTGTTTGGACTAGAAAGAAACCCAGAATAAGATACAAATATTAAATCTGATTATAGTAATGTGGTAAAGGCCTTACAGCGATTTGGACTGAGTTGGACTTGGATTTTGTTAAAAGGGTTTTATATGTTTTTATTATTAGAGATGGTATAATGAGAAAAGAACTGAAATATGGGAAATGATGGAATTAATTATTGGAGATTTGGAGACATAGTGAAAAACAACAGAAGATTGATGAGAAAGAGAAGAATTTATTTTTGGAGTTGTTGTTGTTAATTGCGAAGTCGTGTCCGACCCATCGCGACCCCATGGACAACGTTCCTCCAGGTTAAATAATAAAAAAAACAACAATTGGGGCACCTGAATAGTAAATGAATATGTTAGTTTAAGATTAAATATTTGTAAAATTAAGAAAACATAATACAGGACTTTTGGGATGGATAATGAGTTTGTAAACTTTTATTGATTAATAAAATTCATATAGAGTGACATATTCAATGAAAATTTGTTTTAGAAATGTTTTAATAAGCCTATAATAACATAAATAGACCAGAGAATGTTAGTTTATTTTTAATTATATAACTTGGATGAAATGTTATATTAGTGAATGAATTGGTTTTAGAAAGATATTGACTTGATTATAATGTTCTTAAGAAAAGTAGTTTTATAGGTTAAAATTTTTATTGATTAATGTAGTTGATGGTTAGATATAGTGATGAATGAATTCATTTGAAAATGTATTAATTTGATTATAATATTCTATATAGATCAGTGATTCTCAACCTTTCTAATGCCGTGACCCCATAATACAGTTCCCCATGTTGTGGTGACCCCCAAGTGGGTGTGGCCACCAATAAGAGGGAGTAGGACAGCTAGGGAAAAGGGAAAAAAATGGCGGACAGCATGGTTTGGTGACCCCCGTGAAATGGTCATTCGACCCCAAATGGGGTCCCGACCCACAGGTTGAGAACCACTGATATAGATAGAGAGGGAACTCTTTAAGAAATACTGGGTATATATGTACTATGTTATTGCTTGTTTTTTTTTTAAAAAATGGATCACCATGTTTCCACGTGGGTTCTTAAGCTGTGTTGGTGTAAAATGGAAAACTAATAAAAATTGTTTTGAAAAAAAAAAGAAAAGAAAAGACAGTGGAGCCCAGCTGGTTGGCCGAAAGGAAAGGGGCAGGATGATAGGTGCAGATGGGTGCAGAAAAAGTTTGCGTTGAAGATGCCAGTAGAGAGAACACTTTTTATTCCCAAATTTCCGAGAAACGCTTCGCTTTTGGGCTCTTATAACTACGGACAATGCAAGGCTTATTTACAGAGTTTTGCAGCCTGCCCAGAGAGGAGAATTGCCCCATATCCTGCAATCACTCTTTTGCAATGATCTCATCGTGATTGCAGTGGAGAAGATTAACTAAACAAAGGAGACAGAGTTTGCACCCTGTGTTAAGGACAGCTTTTCTTCCGCTGTCTAAAATCCAAAGCTTTATTTATTTATCCGGTTTATTAGATAATTTTTTTATTGGTTAAAAGGTCCAGCCTTTTCTCTTTTTTTGCATTCCCACCCATAAAGCTGGTTTGGCATGTAATGAAACTACAGAATTTTGAATAAAGGGGAAAGCCCATCTAGATGACATTCGTGCTGCTTCTGCTTAGTGTTATAATTTAATCTTTTAATCGTCTACCATGTTTTTTTCATTATATATATTTATAACCGAGAGAAAAGTCTTACAAAATCGCAATAGATATCACTGCAATATTTTTCATGAAAAAGGAGGGGAAAAAAAAAAAGCCCCTTGCTTTCTGTAAAGTAAGTTGATTTCACAAAAAAACACAAATTCCTGCAGGGTTTTGAGGTGGTTTTGTTGTTGTTGTTGTTTTTTGTTTGCAATTCTGAAGGAGGTTCTACTGATTTTTTTTTCCAATGTTGAGCAATATACACCCTTTTGCTGCTGCTAATAAACTTCAGCTGGAGATCCTTGTGGCTGCAACCCTTGTAGACAGAGGATGGGGGGGGGGGAGATCCGATTTGCAAGTAGCAGAAAGCAAATACTGAATTCTCCTAGTTCTTTTTTTCCCATTTCTATACAGTGCAATGAAACTAAAGGGAAAGGATGGAAATTTCAGAGGCCTTGATGTCCTTTTGATCAAAAGGCATTGCCAAACATTGTACTTATGATCACAACTGAGTCCAGAATTTCTGTTGCTAACCAAGGCAGTTGTTAAGAGAACCACGTCCTACTTTATAATCTTTTTGCCACAGTTCTTAAGCGAATCATGTTGTTTGTTAAGCAAATCCGGCGGGGTTCCGATGTGGAACAATTCGCCCTGGCAAACCTGGCATTCCAGCCACGTTTGTCTGAGGAGTAACGACTGGCCACAGAGGGCCCCCCGCTGGGCAGAGCCCTGCTGGAGGAGCCAGACTGTGGTCCCGCTCTGCAGGGTTCTGCTGCGGCTGCCACCAAAAGGTGGCAGGTCGAAGTGGTGGAAAGCGGAGACGTATTGGTTGGCCCAGGTGGGCCTCACTGCCCCTGGCTACCGGGGGGGGGGGAGGCACCCTCGCCTTACGATACGAGCCTCAGCAGGCGGTGTTGCAGGAGGGATGGAATCCTCCCGTGCCCGTTCTGTACTTCCCATCATCGAGACTGGGCCAGTCTCCCCGAAAGGGGCGGCCAGTCTATAAGGCGCCAGGGGTTCCCCATAGGGGTTCTCCTGGTATGGGTCTTCATCCCTCCTGGTGGAGTTTCTCCATGGAGGTCCAAGGTGGAGTCCCAGTGCCTAACATAGGTCGGACACCTCCCCCCCAAAAAAGAGAAAGAAGAAAAAGAAAAAAAAGTTAAGCAAATTCGGCTTCCTCCACTCACTTTTGCTTGTCAGAAGCTGGCTGGAAAGGACACAAATGGAGATCACATGATCCTGGGACTGCAACCATCATAAATACATTCCAGTTGTGCCCAAATTTTGATCATGTGATCTTGGGGATGCTGTGAAGGTCATAAGTGCAAGGATTGCTTGCAAGTTGCTTTTTCAGTGCCATTGTCACTTTGAACAGTCACTAATCAAAAGATTGTAAGTTGAGGACTACCTGTATTCCTTCCAGAGTCACTTTTAGTGAGATGGATAGCTGTATAAATTTAATACATAAATAAAATAAATAAAACGGGTTCCTTTAGAATCCTGATCTGCTGGTCAAGCAGACTGAAGTTCTTGCTTATAGATTCAAAAGTTTCAGGATCTTTCTATTTTAGATGCAAAGATGGCATAGTCCAGGGGCATTTGCAGAGTGGAGTTCAAGAAGACCCACCATAAGGGCTTCAATTGCACAGTTCTGATTGCCATCTTGACTTTTTTGACCCCCTGTCATAGATGTATCTGTCCCCCCGTCTAGATCTTCTTGGACACAGCATCCATCATCCTAGCTACTGGTCCCTGCAATCCGAAGTTTGTGGCTCCTTGGTGCTCTTTGAGTAGTGTGGGAACAATCCAGAGAAAATAAATATTTTGGAGAATATTAAAAAGGCAGAATATATTTCCCCAAAGGAATACTGAAGAAGATCTTTTAAAAAGGCAGAAACTTCTCCACATATACACACACCCAGCCAGACAACTCAGCAGAAACTAGCTTTTAGAAATGCAGATGTAATAATCCATTCAGGAAGGTTGGAGCCCTCCAGCTAGAAGCTGAAGAGATCAGGAAGACAAAGACCCTTAAAATCTACATACCCATCCAAACTCTAAGACAGGACATAATATGATTAACCCACCACCATCAGAATACCAGAAAGGCACACTCAGATTCAGGTCAAAATTCATGACACAGAAACAACTCCAAACAAAAGCCCAAGAAGGTATAAAAACCCACTCCCTACTACATGTGCTCTTTTTTTCTTCCAGAGCCATCTTTCTGTCTGGCTCTCTTCTTCAATAAACTACAACCTTCTTTCTAAAGCAGTCGCCATGTTGTTTATTCCCAGCTTGGACTGGACCCTGATGAAGACTTTTCCTTCAACAGTAGTGTTATGTCCTGAGAGTAATGAAGAGTGAGGAGGCTCATCTTGAACACAGCAGTCTTTTATTAGTAACAGCTTTTTCCAATCTGGCAATCTACGAGGCACGCAGCCTCTCTTAACAACTCAGAGACCCGGACCAAATGGCAACAATTACCAAGTGCTTTCGCGCCTTGCGTGTGCGCACAAGGCCGGAGTCACTCAGTCTGGTCCCGGGCAGCTTTTGCAATTGCCCAGGACCTTGCAACGTCCCGAGCCTGCTTTTGCAGGCTCAGGACACAACAAGTAGTATGTAGATATTGTTTATATCTCTGTTTATAGAGATAAACAACATCTACCTATCACTAAGTCAAAAAGCCCAAGAGGAAACAAAAAGATCAAAACACCTCACCAGCAATCAACATCCACATGAGCAGAGGTTAACATCAAGATTAAGATCAGACCAACAATCAAGAAGAAACAATATCCCAGTCAAGGAATTACCAGTGCAGATAAACAAGCTAATAGTAAACAACAGCCTAATTAAGAAACCACCAAGAACATTCCCACCAATACTGACAGGGCAAGCCACCCTGCTGCCTTTGAGCACTGATGATGTTACCTAGTTTGGTAATGAAATGTCTGCAAGAAAACTACCAAGCTCAGATAGCGCTAAGGACCCCACATGACCTCAATCAAATATTCTCTTCTATCAGTTCAAAATTTACCTGATGATGACACACTGGTTCTCTCCATCAATGAGCATATTGCGGTACATGTTGTCTGTGAGTGCATAAACGTGAGGTGGATTCTCATACTGAGCCTAGAATATAAGTCAGAAGTCCACAGTCAGTACTTAACATTTTCACCCATGGTCTTACTTTTACTCTTCTAATATGTAAAAAAGGGGGCTTTACGCTTACAGTGTAGTCCATGATTTTTACTTTTTGACTCCTGCCTAATAACAAACAAGGGAGAAAATTCCTACCACATCACACGAACAATGGATTTAATTAAACAGATTGCATGGTAATAAATAAACAAATTACATACATGGATTTGTAATGGTCTGTGATTGCAATAAGCTGAATTGATTGACTGATACATGAATTAATATAAGCTCATGGATTTAAGGGGACATAAAATAAAATAAAAAACAGTTCTGGGGTCAATTTAATATATTATCTTGATTTGCTAGATACTACCTGGAATTTGACATAATGCAATAGTTCTTCTACATTTCTTGCTTCAATTTGCAAAATCTTAGATTAGATCATTATTTTTACCAGCCTTCCTCAAAGGCTTTGGTAGAAAGAGTGATATCATTATATAATCCATTTTACTGGGTGGATTAAAAATGTAACTGGATAACAAGATAGATTGTAAGAAATTCAAGGAATGGGATCGTTCAGATTCCTTGGCTCTTATATTGTTTTTTCTCATCCAATTGACTCACCGCTCCTTGGTAGAGTTCAATTTCTCGATCTGTAAAATAGGGCATCTGCTTAAAGGGGTTGACAGATATAAGGACTGGTCCAATATAGGTCTGAGCAATGCTTATTAAGGTCCAGAAAGAGAAAAAAATGGCCTGTGATTTCTTTAGTAAGGGCTCATAAACCTAAAAAGATTTGCAGCCATCTTGGCTGATGTCTTGCAGGCCACACAATGTACACCTAAAAAGTGGAAATGCTTTGTTTTCTATTTTTTTTTTTCTTTGCAAGAGTGGCTTCATAGGCTTTTTCAAAGTGTGATAAAAATGCAGAGGATTATGAAATTTAACACATGCGATGATGCCTGCCTTGGAAACCTTCTGGAGCAGGGGGTCTTCAAACTTGGCCCTTTTATGACTTGTGGACTTCAACTCCCAGAATTCCTCAGCTAGGCACACTGGCTGAGAAATTCTGGGAGTTGAAGTCCACAAGTCATAAAAGGGCCAAGTTTGAAGACCCCTGCTCTGGAGTGTCATTCTTCTTCCTCCTGTGGTATCAAAGCTAAGCCTGCAAGAAATCTATAGACTCTTTCCTAAGTGGAGATCCTTTGCATTCATGCCTGAATATAGACTTATATGTGGATATAAACAGGTCTTTTTTTTGTCATAGAACACCCAGAACGGAGTTCCGACACCTTTTTTTTTTTTTTTTTTTTTTACAAAAAAAGCACTGGATATAAATATATGTATAGTAGTTTCCCTCCCAGAGCAAAAAACCTAGCTCACATTTGTACAGGTAGTCTTTGACTTAGGACCGGTTGCTTAGTGACTATTTGAAGTTATGATGCCCCCCCAAAATTACTGAGTTCTGAAGTTCCAACAGCTGCCCCACCCCATGGTCATATGACTGCATTTCAGTTGCTTGGCAACCAGCCCGCATTTATGGCTGTTTACAGTGTCCCACAGTCATGTGCCCATTAATTATGAGATTTTGGCTGAAAACTGACATTTACTTCCAGTTTTTAGCAAAAACAGCCACATTGAACAACAGTTTCACTTAACCACCATGGCATTTGCTTAGCAATAGTCACAAAAAAGGCAGGCTCCATTACAGTTGTAAATGGAGGACTACCTGTACTGGTCTAGCAATAGTTTAATTTGCAAAAAGGCCTTTTTGCAAATGATCAAATATACTCAAGGTCCTTTCAATATCCCCCTTGTCATTTCCCCTCTTTTAAAATAAGGCTAAAAGGATACGAAGATGTAATCATCCATGTAACGTTTCTTCAGATTTTCAACGATGGCATCTTCATTAATTTTGGAGAGCAAGACCATGTCATCCACCCCGCTCTGTTTGACATTGTGGCTTTGCCAATGAAAGCGTTCCTTGCTGCCCTTTAAGAGAGAAGAAAAAAAAAAGAGAGATTTTATCCATGAGAAAGTAACCCTGGATTAAACTAGTGATCAGTCACTTTTCTTTGCTCTGGCTAGAGCTGATGGAGTTACAGCCAACACACCTGGAGGGCACCTGGTGGAAGAAGAATTAGGTACAGGTAATCCACAACTTACAACCCTTCGTTAAATGACCACTGAAATTACAACAGCACTAAAAAAGTGACGTATGACCAGTTCTCACACTTATGACCGTTGCAGCATTCTCCACAGTTGTGTGTTCAAATTTCAGGTGCTTGGCAAATGGCCTGTATTTACGATGGTTGCAGCATTCTGGGGTCCTGTGATTGTCATTTGAAACCTTTCTAGAGAGCTTCTGACAAGTCAATGACTGCCTGATTCACTTAACAACTAGTGATGCGCTTAACAACAATGCCCCATAACATGTGGCATGACTCACTTAACAACCGCCTTGCTTAGCAATGGAAATTTTGGTCTCAATTGTGGTCATAAGGTGAGGATTACCTGTAAAACTTATCCCTTAGAGTTTTTGATTTTTTTGTTTTTGTTTTTTTTTACCAAAATTGCATTTGTAGTAAAATTTCTCCACTTTTAACCACTAGCTGGAGACCTTTGTGAACCCTCGGACTTTGGAAATAGAGTTTTTATTTTGCATTTCCTGTGTCGGATGAGGAGAGCACATCTTTCTCCTTCTGTCCTGGCCACTTTTTACAGAACGCGACTGAAAGCATTTTAACAAACTGCATCATTGTCTGGTTTGGTGGCAGCCATGCCTTAGATAGGAAGTCCATACAGAGATTGGTAAGGACAGCCGAGAAGATCATAGGAAGCTCTCCCTGGTATTCAGGATGCTGCTTATAAGCACTATGTCAGTGATGGCGAACGTTTTAGAGACTGAGTGCCCAAAAACCGGCCCTGCCCCCACCTTCGCCCCCACCCCGCTCTGCCCCCTGCTCTGTCCACCCGTAGGGCCACCCACTGACTCCACAGCCCGCCGATCGCCCAGGCGGCCCAGCAGCACCATAGCAGCTACACCCTCTACCCACGCCCCGCAGCATCAACTACACAGAGATGGGGTGTGAGGGCGGAGTCTTGTCCCCACTGCCTGGCTGCCATGTCCTCGGCTGCGCTGCTCCGTGCGGACCGCGCTCACAGGCAACTCTTGGACGGCTGCTGAGGGCTCTGGGAGGGGGCCGTGGGGGGAGGCGGGGCTGAGGTGATGGCGCACGTGCCCACAAAGAGGGCTCTGAGTGCTGCCTCTGGCCTCTGGCGTGCCATAGATTCACCACCACTGCACTATGTGCTTAAAACTCAAAGCATTGTTAGAAACCCCACGCACTCACTTTATGGTCTGTTTCTGTTGCTCCCCTCTGGGAGGAGGTTTCAAAGTATTTCTAGCAGGACTAGCCGATTCTGTAATAGCTTTGTTCCCTATGCCATCTGTCTGGTAAACTCACAAGATTTGTGTTTCTTGCCATGCACATGTATACATAACCTGAAATAGACTGTGTTGTTTCTCTGTGTCATATAATATATGTGGGTATATGCATAATTCTGTATTTATTTATTTATTTATATGTATTTATTTATTTTTGCCATATTTATGTAGTGTATATCGGAGGTGGTGACCCTTTGAGAGCTGTATGCAATGAAATTTCATTTTAATGTATGCCAATTAGTGTATATTCAAAATGACAAAGCTATTCTATTCTATTCTATTCTGTTCTGTTCTGTTCTATTCTATTCATTCTATGTTTTTCACGATGCGATTGCTGTAAGTTTTGATTTCGTATTCTAAATTGCTTTGCTTTTTTTAACATTGGCGAGTTGAACGACTAAATAGGGACAGCTCGTAGGAGTTTGCCCCTGGAGTCCGGTAGGAGAAAGAATGACCAGGGGTCATTCTGAAGGATTGTATGCTGTAATGGGAGGGGGGGGGGAAATGCCACTGCTTGAATAGCCGCTGATTATGAGAGGTGTGGCCTGAAAGGTTTGATTTGGATACTGAATGGTTGGATGTTAGCTTCCAACTCAGTAAGCTGTGACTATATGGGTAGACTTTGACTTATGACTACAATTGGGACTAGAACTTTTATGGTTAGGTGATGTGGTCATTAAGTGAGTTTCACCCATTTTTTGCAGCATTTGTTAAGCAAATCACTGTGGTCATTAAACGAGTCATTACGTGAATCCAGCTTTCCACATTGACTTTGTTGTTGGAAGCCAGATGGGAATGTTACAAATGGTGATTATGAGATCCCAGGATTCTGCAACTGTCATAAATACATGCCAGTTGCCAATCATTTGAATTTTATTCATTTGCCATAACCATGAGAATGCTGTGATGTGAAGTACCAGTTGCAAGTCATTTTTTCAGTGCCATTGTAACTTCAAACTGTCACTAAGCAAATGGTCATAAGCTGAGAACTACTTGTGTTGCTACTGCTAAGGAATGCCTTAAATCTGGCTCACTCATCATGTTCCTCCAATTTTCCTGCTATTCCCATGGTTACATGACCACGGTCAGATTAGAATTGCCTTGTGATGAGATGGGCGGCAAATAAATTTAATCAAAATAAATAAAATTAACAGTTTGGGAGGGGAGAAGTTTAAAGTGAAATCTCCCACTATTTTCTAAGTCAAGAGTTTCTGCTTGTCTAAGATGAGAATCGGAGACAAGAACATGCCAACAGAATAATAAGGTTTCTGTTGATTATTTTTGAAGAAAAAAGAGGGAAAACGTAGGGACAAGAATCTGAAACTGTGACACACATTGCTTATGGGGTGTGTGAATTCCTTCTGAACCTGCAACATACCCAAACTTGTTACAGTACTTGAAGAAAAATCAAAAGCTTTACAGCAGATGACCATACTTCAGATGATTAAAAAGGCCAAGGATTTATCAGTTCTTCGAAAGGAGGTTTTGCAACTGAAACAGCAGAAATAATGTTCATCCTCCAGGTTGTTGGTATCTCTTTCTTATTGCATTTTTGTTCTTTAAATAAGAAATCCCATTATTTTTATTTAACACAGTTGTGTAAGGCAGCACATTTGTTTAGGTATTACATTTATGGGACAACCTAACCCAACAACATCACTCTGAGCAGTGTGCAAAAATTAATAACAGACACAAAGAAAAACAGCACCTAGCAGGTGCATGAACAAAATGGTAGCAAGTCTTAAAATATACTGTAACTCAACCAATTGGACCTCTACTCATCTTGCCCCAAAAGCTTGGGAGAAACAGCCAGGTCTTGATTGCCTTCCTAAAGGCTTGAAGTTTTGAGTCAACCATGTATTGAGGGAAGATTGTTCAAGAAGGTATGGGCCATGATTGAGAAGGCAACTGGTTAACATTGAAATGAAATGAATGGAATTTTATTAACTAACTTTAAAATTTATAAATGGGTTATCTTAATTCCACAGTGTATATATATTCAATCAATACTTACCTACCTGGGCACAAAATATAATTCTAACCCTATCCTGATAGGTGGAGGTCTTCTTAGCTAAGACTCTGAACCTCTCTTAGGCACATCCAACCATCTATACCTCCATCCTTCCCAGTTCTCTTCTTCTAGAATGGTGTTTCTCAACCTCAGCAATTTTAAAATGTGTGGACTTCAACTCTCAGAATTCTGGGAGTTAAAGTCCACGCATTTTAAAATTACTGAAGTTGAGAGAAACAGAACTAGAATAGAATAGAGGTGTCCTGCATTGTCATGGTGTGAATGGCAGTTCCAGCCTGCCAACCTTACAAGGAACAGCCCTCCAGGAAGAAAACAGAAACAACGGAGCTGTCAATGCTGCTAACATCGGATGTTTTGCATTGACAACAGATGAAAATGTAGCCATCTTTTTCCCTCTCTCTTTTAGAGTTAGATGATGCTGGGAGGGAGGGAATGTGAATGAGAGTCTAGCTAGACATAACAACACTAAACGTAGAGTGAGAATCAAGGTTATTGAGCCCAGAGCTGATAAAGAGTTGGTGGGCTGGAGAACTGGAGAGGAAGCCCGTGCTTTAAGCTAATTGGGGAATGTGATTTATGACTGTTAATTGGAGGAGGGAATTGTGCTTTGATACTATGTGCCCAGGGGAGGGGAATTCAGTTTTTGGCTTCGATTATGCAGTGCTGATATTATGCTACTCAAATAAAAGATTCTTTAAGGTAAACAATGCCTCAAAGTTCTTTTGAAGAGTTTTATCTGTCGGAACCATGACAGGAGCAAGCTGCCAAAAAAGTCAGTGCAGTCCTAGGCTGCATCAACAGAGAGGTTGTCAGCCTGCCTACAACTTTGACCTCTAAATAGAAATGATCCTTAGCTCCATTTGTTGAGAAAGGTATGGCTTTATTAGAGATCAAGTGTATTGCAGTATTGCATAGGCAGAACAGAGAATCACTCACCAAAATCCCTACGTTCTACTTTTCCCTCCCTTTACTGTCTCTTATTGCCTATCCCAGTGTGACAAATCAAGTTCATGCAAGATGTTTTCATAACGTAACGTAACGTAACGTAATGTAACGTAACGTAACGTAACGTAACATAACAATATAACATAACATAACATAACATAACAAGCACAATTTGGTATGTAGCTTTCTCTTTCTTCCAGCTGGTTGATCTTGAGGCAGCATCTCGAGAAATTACAGCCTCTACTTTCTATTTCTCAAGCATCTCCCCCCTTCATTCTCCCTCCCCATAGTGCATGGCAATCTGTCACCGCAAGGACAGCAAGCATAAGGTGGCAGCTGACAGAGATCATGTGAAGAGTTAGTACTGTTTTGATAAGATCACACTTGGAATATTTTATCCAGTTTTGGTCACTGCAATACAAAAAAAGGGGACTCTAGAAAAAGCATAGAGAAGAGTAAATAAGGATGATTAGGGGGCTGGAGGCTAAAACATATGATGAACGGTTGCAGGATATGTCTAGTCTAATGGGGTCACATGATAGCATCTTCCAATATTTGAGGCGCTGC